TTTACAGCGCCTAAAGAATCTCATTGAAACGAAACGATTTCACTAAGTGCCGAAAGTGAGGTGAGGTGAGGTGAAATTGGGTTTAACGATGTGCTTGAGAATATTTCGCTCATATGACGACGTGTATGCGTGTGTATGTGTATGTGCGGCTGCTTGTACTAGCCCAGACTTAATTATAGTGCTAACCCACTGAGATACCATGCCCAGTGAAGCATGAATACCCCACTCAGCTGATTATACTTACTCCGAGCCGACCAGTCCTTGTTGTACCCATTAATGCCGAGCGCCAGGCAGGGATCGACAAGTACCATATGTTAACTTCTTTTGGTATGACGCGGTCGGGGGCCGAAAGTGAAATGGTGGAGAGATATGACATACTGGCTGTTTATGTGTTATGATAAACTAATACCGAGATTGGAGAATAGCCCAATGGTGTTTAACGTCACGTCATCACAAGATTATTACAGTATATAGAGAAAAGTATGTACTTCTTTGCCGGTGTATTGGTACACTTTACTAGTCCCGATTGCATCATACACCCACTGGGATACTGAAGCTTAACACCGGTACCCGAATCAGTACACTGACAACTGAGCCAAAACCACGGTAACAACAAGTGCCATCTTTTAGTCTATTTTGGTATGACGAAGTATGGATCCAAAACCATTTCACTCCCCGCACAGACTCTATCTGCTAGACCAAACTATTGAAGACTTTATATGCATTTACTTTGTTTCATAACAATGTATGTGTGTGTTTGTGCGTGCGTGCGTACGTGTGATGTGTTTGTGGGTACGTACGTGCCTGCATGCCTGCGTGCCTGCGTGCAAAAGTATCAAGCTGTCTCTATTTGCTGTGTACAAATGGTAAATTCGAATCAGCGAAGAATACCAATGTTATTTTATTTTTATGGAAGGAAGACAGTGAATCACTTAAAAACTTAGAAGAAATCAAGTATTTTTAAAAAATAGTAAACTATACTTCTTGGTCGCAACAAAAGTCACTTAAGATCAAGATCGTGTACGGTCTTTTACTACCGCTTCATTAAGTGTTCTCATTACAATAAACGCCAAAACCAGAGAAAAGACTATTCAGGATTATCTGCCCGAACAGATTCCACTGAGAATAAAATTAAGGCAAAACTGCGGTGAATATTATTAGTTGTTCACTGGTCACGAGGGGCATGGGTTGATGTACCCTCGATGTTTATGAGGGTACATCAACCCATGCCCCCTCGTGACCAGTGAACAACTTACAATGTTTGTTTATAAACAAACATCGAAGGGTACATCAACCCATGGGCCCCGAGGGACCAATGAACAACGTATTTATCTTACCGAACACATTAATGTTAATTTTTGAATTAACTTTACACTACTCCGGAACAATAGGCAATTTATCAATAATGACTTAATGGTTTTGAATTGTGTGTTATGCACATGTTATTTTAAAAGAGAGTGTAAAGAAACGCCACATTTAACATAATATCATGGTATTATTTATTAAAAAATCCTTTAAAATTTACTTTGTGTGAGTTTATTGGAGTATGCACCTCATGGTTGACGGATAAACTGTATGAATGACGGAGGTTGAACTCTGTCAACCTTCATGCGCAAATGAACACACACAGTGCATGTCAAGTTTTATAAATGTATACCACTATTCTTTTCATCTCAATAGTGATTCTACACGCTAATGGAGGATGTATATGTTTCTCGTAAATATGTGTATGCATATTCTGATGTAAAAAAAATCTTCCACCAAAGTCACCTGTTCATTAATTACATTATAAATAACAACGGTGTTGGGATTTTTCTTTTATCACGAAATTAACCAATCAGAACTCGGGGATGGTATTTTGCCCGATTCTTCAACATGGCTGCGCCCATGTCGCAATGTATTTGTCACAATTGATATGATAAACTTCTGTCGGCAGTCTCTTGGTGGAGAAGTTGTGAAATATAGCGGTATGTGAATAAATCTGGAAAGTTTGTAGAGGCAAACCGAACGACATCTTAATATAAATCTCGGCTTGTAGTTGTATGTCACACTGTCCCCTATTGGACTAACATGTAGGCTCCAAAATGTTCATATAGTACAGAGTATTAGTTCTTAAACTATATTTAAGAATATAATAGAAAGGAGCCAAGAGATTACGTTTTGCTAATTTGGGAAAGAGTTCCTTCCGTTCCCCCAACCCTAAACCTAACTCTAAACCTAACCCTAAGCCTAACCCTAAACCTAACCCTTAACCTAACCCTTAATCTAACCCTAACTTAAATTTTGGACTTTTAGTCATTTTGTGAGTTCTCTAGTAATTGTTGTGTTAAGTTTTGTTAATAATTTTAGTATTTATAAATATTATTTGGGATGGGGGAACGGGAGGAACTCCTACCCTAATTTGACTTGCACAGGTTGTATATCTTTGTTTCAGGGAATGTATGGCAGACTATTTTAGTATCAGCTGTTTACTGATGAGAACCGAACAGACCATTGTCTCAGTGGGAACGATAAGAAATCTTTGTTAACTATGTATGCATGTGTGTGTCTCTGTGTGTGTGTCTGTGTGTGTGTGTGTGTGTGTGTGTGTGTGTGTGTGTGTGTGTGTGTGTGTGTGTGTGTGTGTGTGTGTGTGTGTGTGTGTGTGTGTGTGTGTGTGTGTGTGTGTGTGTGTGTGTGTGTGTGTGTGTGAAACTGAAATATAAACTGAAACTGCCCGTGCACTTTCTCCTTAAATCTTTAAAGTTTCGCCTACAACTTGAATGCCAGTTGTCATGGCGATTAAAAGTATAATCAGCAAAGAAAGATGAAAGATCATTTATAATAGGTCAGCTATTGACAATGTATGTGAATGACTATAGTTGACGACCACGGATACTTTGCAGTGTAACAGACAGACAGACAGACAGACACACACACACACACACACACACACACACACACATACATACATACATACATACAATATACATACAACATACATACATACAAACATACATACATACATACATACATACATACATACATACATACATACATACATACATACATACATACATACATACATACATACATACATACATACATACATACATACATACATACATACATATTTTTCTTACAATAAGACAAGTCTGCAAGCATAATGTTGAAAGTATAGACCATCATTAAGTTCATTTGTGTAATATCTATACTGGGGAAAACTAAGCTTCGATGATTACATGCAGCTCCATGAGGAGTTTATGCTGGAAACTACAAGTTCGGCCTTGAGATCACAGAGAACAGATCAGAGCCTATTGTAAAGTCGTGCAATATAGACACAATTTTGATACTGTCTAACAAGGTTACACTGGTGAATACTTTTCATATACTGATCTTCTCATTAACAGTAAACTGAATAGAAGCGACAGAACCCTTTCCATATCCACAAGAAATCTCTGCTAAAAGCACTTTAAAGGCTTGGGAGATATCGACACATGTACGTGATTCATATGTTTCATGTTTAAAACCATACAACAACCAGCTGTATCGCGGCATAAAATAGTTCCTATAAAGACAGGTGATGTCAGCGTACATAGGTTGATCTACAGTAACACCTTTTGAGGTTAGATCTTAAAAATATAGATTCAAGTAATATCAACAAAAGATGAGAAGAGTCTGTTAAGAACGACCCCAGTTAGTTACTACTGTGACACGGCGGCATGATACAGTGACACCAAAAGTACATGACCTATAAATGGCCGACACGATTGAAAATTGAGATTTCCGAAATCGTTTAAAAGCCTGAGTGTGGTGATTGCAACTGTTAGCAAGATCAGTTGGCCGACCTTTGACAGTACAAGTGAGTACAAATACATGTATCAAGTTGTGTCAAACAGATACAAAGGTGACTTCATAGATGACTGTAGACTGTCAGTCATGGCGTGGATCGAGTCGACAGTTCAAGTATTCTGTTTTAGTTCCTTATCACGAAACATGCAGTCAGCTTTTCTAACTGTTCACTGGGTCAGCTGAAATTCTAAGAGCTTCTTTCAGGGCGTAGATGTTTTCCTTCGTGTTGGGGATTTCCCTGGGTTTTCCCAGTGGTTTCCCGAGGAACGCGGAAGTAGTTCACCGGTGATTAGTACTTTGAAGTCAGAGTGACTTTACTGCGTCTATTCTCCAGTACTCCAGCTTCTTGTTTGTCAAACTGTTGATTTGTCTCCCTTCCGGGCCGACAGTCGTGGCAGTCCGACGACAATCGACGGATTGTCTGTTCCTAATTTGGTTATTGCTTACATAGCATAGAAGAAAATTAAGAAAAACAGTTAGGTGACATCTGATCCTGTGCACAACGCTCATGTAGCAAGTTAAATCAGGTTACGATACCTGAGTTCCTGAGGGTAGTTTGTTTGTTGTTTAACGCCGCACTCAGCAATGTTCCAACTATACGGCGGCGGTCTGTAAATAATCGAATCTGAACCAGACAATCCAGTGATCAGCATCATGAGCATCGATCTAAGCAATTGGACATGTGTCAACCAAGTCGGCGAGCCTGACCACCCGACCCCATTAGTCGCCTCTTACGACAAGCATGGGTTACTGAAGACCAGTACATTATTCTAACCCAGATCTTCACGGGTACTGAGGGTACTTGAACGGGCGGCCGTTTTCCGCCAGTGAGTCATGCCCGATATAGCAGTGAATGGGCACCCGTTAGGATGAGGTCGTGACAGCGATCTAGCATTTTACATGCAACTTGAGTTGTATATACTCCCCAGTGAGCTGAGAATTATTAACAGGGGGTAATGAGGTGAGCTTTTTAGCATGCAATTTAATATGAATGTATCTCATTATAAATGTCTACATTGTGGTGTGCTGACTAGTACAGAGAGAGAAAGAGTGAGAGAGAGAAAGAAAGAGTGAGAAAGAAAGAAGAGAGAGTGAGAGAAAGAAAGAGTGAGAGGGAGAAAGAAAGAGTGAGAGGGAGAAAGAAAGAGTGAGAGAAAGAAAGAAGAGAGAGTGAGAGAAAGAAAGAATGGAGAGAAAGAAAGAGTGAGAGAGAGAAAGAGTGAGAGAAAGAAAGAGTGAGAAAGAAAGAAAAAGAGAGTGAGAGTGATGCACACACCATTAAGAAATTTACAGTGCTCGACAGACACATCACACCCTTCCTTCAGTCAGTGTCTTCTAATTCATTTGATAATGGAAAGAGTTAAGGTGTTACTTGTATTACCGGCTCTTTGTCCAGGACGCAAGCGAAAGGTCACGCGAGTGCAAGCAGGTGCACACGTGCGGAGAATACAAAGAAATTTAATCATATATTAATATATAGTATAAATTTGCCCGACTACTTTAATCATATTTTCGAAGCACACATAGTTAACAACAAACTAAAGTTACTATTCGTGTGCCTTATCAGCGGTGTGCGATCACAACTGACCCACGAATTCAGCCCACAGCTGACCTAATCTCGTTCTTTGTTCTCGTTCTCGGAGTTTCCCGACATCGAGATGTGACATTCAGTTGCTACCACGCCGGGTAAGAACAGCCAGGCCATGAAACGTAAGTAAAAATTTTGTTTACATGTCTGTCTATACATGCACCGATTCACCGCCCTGTTTGATACATGCATAGCCTGGTTGCATATGTGTGTCAGTCTCACAGCCCCCCAGACAGGCGAGCAGATAAATGGTTGATATAGCCTTTTCTGATGTGAGGCCAGGCAGGAATCGATCTATGATGGCGTATAGTATCATGCAATGGGTTTCGCGTTGTTTACATAGTTTCGTCACGACCTCATTTAAAGCAAAATATTATCCAAGCCATTGGATAACTGTATCGGACTGTTGAAGCACAAACTCCTCCGTTCATTAGGTCGAATGTAATCCATTACAGCGATCAGCTGTCATTGGCAAGGACGCAACCCTGCACAGTGGGTCACGGTGCCTCGAGTCAAAGGAAGATTATGGGCGTAATATAGCCTCACAGTGTTGTACTTAACCAGGTATTTCACACTACACCTGCACGTTGAACATTAAGGACACCTATATTCAATGTACTTTTCTAAATCTGAATCGCTAGGTATATATGGCTTACGTTTATGTCCTACTTATGAACGAATAATCGTACAATGTATGCCCTCTGTTTCAGCAAGATTACTTATGATTTTCAAAAGGTTTTTTTATCAGTTATTATTTTTGTATTATTAATAACAGCATATGATGGATATTTTAGATGTCAATGTCATTTAGATATGTTTATAGTCATTTAATTTGTTACACTCCAAAATAGAGTATCACCATCGTTGTGTTTGTATTTAGATTTCTCTACTTCTGGTATACATGGGCGATCGCAATCATTTGTCTTCTTATCAATATGGCAAGCACGGACGTGTGGGATCAAATAAGATGAACATGGTATCAATTTCCCATCTTTCCGGTTGAAGTAATCAGCTCAATTGGCTTCACGCAAGTGACTTCACCTGTTGTTTACGTTGCGCGTGTGTAATACTTTGTGACGGCAATATAACAGCTTGGAGAAGAGGAGGGGTTTTGGGGGGTTGCTGTGCCTTGTGGTTATACATTGACCTCCAAACGACAAACGCATGCAAGCGTAAACTTTAGCACAGCGTCAACGAACATGTTTAGGAGACACAATACTGCTTGATATATAGCTTTGGAATTATGTATTCAATGAATAAAAACTGGAAATACTCCCATGGCTTAAATAATGCCGATGCAACGTTATGTTTACTCACTCACTGTCGACTGGAAAAAAGGGTCTGTACACGAAGGGACTATACTGAATTGTGGTAATTATGGGTACTTCTTTATTGGACGATGTGATGATCGTCAAAACCTACCATGAACAATGTAGTCACACGCTACTAACCTTGAATGTTCATGAAATTTACGCTCTGCGCATCTATTTGTGGGTCTGTAAACAAACTAAATTAGATTGCATGTAATATGAAGGAAACTAAAGTCTTGTATATCGTGACCAAAGTGTGAAAGATTTATATGGTTAGTTTTAGACCTTTGTGGGTGAGACTGCGCGTGCGTGCGTGCGGCACAAATACACGCACACATACAGAGGCACGTACACATGCACACACGCTCGCTCACACATACAGGCGCACATGTACACATACGCACTCACGAACACATACAGACACACACTCAAGCTCACACATACAGGCACACACACAGACACACATGTACACTTAAAGGCACGTACACACGTACGCACACGCACACGCACGCTCACATCACTCAACACATGACTAACGAGCGCGACCGTTCCTGTAATATATAGATATCAAGGAAATCGAAAATGCATTCTGTATGAATCATGAGGTGTATGTAGTTGTGAGATTAAAGTTCGAAGTCCCTCGAAACTTACGCCTTGATTTAATTTTACTGAACTGACACAGTAACACATATGTAATAACCCAACCCTCGTCACTACCAGATATGAGCCTCGCAATATGTAATATATTTTAGTAAGATGATCCACATGAAATATCTGAGACAGCCCGTAATGTATTACGTAAGTTTTCATTTTATGTGTTAACAATCAGGAAGTGGTTTAATGCAAACTGATCAAAGGTGCACATTTGTAAAATGATTCGTGGTGCGAAACAAAATCTCTGTGGGAAATCGGCGTTTGAATGTGCCCCCAGTGCCACAAGCTTGTCGGATGACTCAATGTGCTGGCATTATGCTAATTCGCCCGGTCGTTTTTTCCGGTGAAGATTGTGGTATTAACAGGTAAACATACACATATTGTGTGCTGGCCAGTCAGCAGACGGTCGGTGTTTAGATCCCCTGGCCGCGTCATACTGAAGGGCCTTAAAAGATGAAACTTGTTAATACCCTGCCTGGTGCTGGACATTAAGAGAGATATTATTACAATCAGATAAACATACACTCACAAATACACGCACGCACCAAAACACGAGTGCACCCACTCACGCGCGAGAACATATATACAGCGTATGCACCTAGCTATTTAAGAGAAACAATCATGAACAGAATATTATACACCTCACCTCACCTCGCCTCACCTCGCCTCGTCTCGTTTGTTTGATGTTAAATTATCTTGTTGTAACAGCTTTGGTTATGACACATGTTTCAGTTACGTGCTGCTATGACTTTGTCCACTGTTGTAGTACATTGTAGCAGTGACGTGATGCTATTGTTTAGTATGTCTACTGTTTCAGTGACATGTTACTATAATTTTTCAGTATGTCTACTTTTATGTTGCTATGTCTGTCTAGTTTCAGTATGTTACTATTGTTTCAGTATGTCTACTGTTTCAGTGACATGTTACTATTGTTTAGTATGTCTACTGTTTCAGTGACATGTTACTATTGTTTAGTATGTCTACTGTTTCAGTGACATGTTACTATTGTTTAGTATGTCTACTGTTTCAGTGACATGTTACTATTGTTTAGTATGTCTACTGTTTCAGTGACATGTTACTATTGTTTAGTATGTCTACTGTTTCAGTGACATGTTGCTATTGTTTAGTATGTCTACTGTTTCAGTGACATGTTACTATTTTTTAGTATGTCTACTGTTTCAGTGACATGTTACTGTTGTTTAGTATGTCTAATATGTCTAGTGTTTCAGTGGTGTGTTGCTATTGTTCAGTATGTCCATTGTTAAGTGTGGTGTTGCTATTGTTCAGTACGTATATTGCTTCAGTGACGTGTTGCTATTGCTCAGTATGTCTGTAGTTTCAGAGGCTTGTTACTATTGTTTAGTATGTCTACTGTTTCAGTGACGTGTTGCTATTGTTCAGTATGTCTGTAGTTTCAGAGGCTTGTTACTATTGTTTAGTATGTCTACTGTTTCAGTGACGTGTTGATATTGTTCAATACGTCCAGTATGTGACATTTTGTTATCGTTGTGTTCGTCCATTGTTTCAGTGATATCTTTCTATTTCTCTTCTCGTCCGTTATTTCAGTGACGTGTTGCTATTGTTCAGTATGTCCATTGTTTCAGTGACATGTTACTGTTGTTTGGTATGTCTAATATGTCTAGTGTTTCAGTGGTGTGTTGCTATTGTTCAGTATGTCCATTGTTAAGTGAGGTGGTGCTATTGTTCAGTACGTATATTGCTTCAGTGACGTGTTGCTATTGTTCAGTATGTCCATTGTTTCAATGGCACATTGCTATTGTTAAGGGTGTCCATTGTTTCAGTGACATCGTTCTACTGTTCTATTCGTCCATTATTTCAGTGACGTGCTGCATCCCATGGCGATATGTCGTGGCAGGAATGTGGTTCATAGCCTTTGTCCTCCACGACAGCTTTCGTGGCAGCCTCAGCATCACCATCGTGTGCATGGTGAACCATGACCCAGCCATCAACATCACGACAGCGTCCTATGACATCAATTCATCAAACATTCAGACCACTCGAGGAGGACTATTGTCAGTCAACATAACAGACCCCAAACAGGAGGCGAAGGACACATGCTATTCAAGAGAGGGATCTAGGACCGCTGATATTTTGGTTAGTATATGCATGTTTTGATTCTAAATACGAATAGAGAATTGCAGTTAATGATATTTTCCTTTAAAACAGTTGATTAATTAAAACGTTTTTCAACTGTTTGGTGCTTTTTGGAGTACCATTAGTAACATGTTTGAAAAGGAGACGGTACTGTGTAACTGTCTGAATCCATAACTGTTATATTGATAAACCCCATGATATTGGAAGAAGCAGATAAATAATCATTGAGGCTTGTAAATCACTGCTTAACTAACCAGCCTTGGTTTAGGCTAGTTTCCCTTTACATCCATGACATGGCAGTCCTGTGGTGACATTTAAAGAGTTTGCTTGTCACTGCGAAGGTCCAGGTTTGATTCCCAATGGGTAGAATGTGCCCAGCCCATTTCTAGTGCCCTTCCTCAAAATTGCTAGAATTTTGTAATTTTAAAGCCACATCGCAAAACCACACCCCTCCCGTACTGATCTATGACATCGTATCCCAAATGCGTAAATCGTTTCTCATGCTGTTGATCATGGATTGTCTGGTCCAGACTCGATATTTTACAGACCGCCTACATGTACAAACAAAAAAACCAAAAAACTACCCTCAAAAACTAAGGTTCGTAGCCTGATTTAACTTGTTAAATGAGCGTTGGGCGCAGGATCACACCAATTGTTTTTCATCATTAAGATATCTTTTGTCTATGACGTATTGCCTTTTTTAGTCAGGTGGTTTCGAGTGGAGCAAGCAAGTTCAAGGTCTCCTTCTTGGAGCTGTGTTCTGGGGGTATATGGCATTTCAGTTCCCTTCGGGGTGGCTGGCGGAGAGATTCGGAGCACACCGAGTCATCCTCGTCTTCCTCATCATCGCATCAGTAACAAGCATCTGTACACCTATAGCCGCCCATGCACATCCATACGTTCTACTTGCTGTTCGTTGCATGACAGGGTTATCCATAGTGAGTATACAACAATGCTATTCTTACGTAATTAAGCTTTTATGCTGAATCCCTATAATAACCCTTCACGTGTATGTGCACTTTCAAATATTAAATTTAATTTAATTTAAATAAAATATCATTGCTGACATACCCTGGAAGATGCGGGATAGAATTTGCCTTAGCAACCCATGCTTGTAAGAGGCGACTAACGGAGTCGGGTGGTCAGGCTAGCTGACTTGGTTGACACATGTCATCGTATACAAATTGCGTAGGTCGATGCTCATGATGTTGGTCACTGGATTGTCTGGTCCAGACTCGATTATTTACAGACCGCCACCATACAGCTTAAATATTGCTGAGTGCGACGTTAAACAACAAACAAACAAACATTGCTAACATGATTGTGAACACGTTGTGGGGATTCTAGCGATTAAATTGGGATCACGTGTTTTTTTTAAATTTTAAATTGTAAGTTATGAATCAAATATCACATTTAACGCTTTCCACTGCATTGGTAACATCATTCTTACAAACCTCGAAGGAGATGTCCTATATTGGAATCTAATGAATATGTTTTCTTTGTTATAAAACGGGAAAGGATGCCTTTAGGAGATCTCCTTCAATTTTCTCTTTATTCTTACTATTATTAACTTTGCATTTTGAAAACTTCCGCTTTGGTTTAGAAAATATAAAACGTTAGTTCAAAAGCCTTCCCTGTCTTGACTATCCCCAGAAACAGATTTCGTGTGGCCAGAAGGATATGAAAGTTTTATGAATAAATCAATGAAAATCAGTGATGACACATATTAACACACCCCTGTCCAAACTGTATAATGGAACAGTCCAGATCTGTTTAATGTGGGTGTGTTCATGGGTACCATCAGGGCCCCGTTTCACAAAGCGATTGTAAAGCACAGGTTAATTCATAATGATAACGTACTCTTTGATGAAATTGAAATAGTAGGAGAGGTCACATATCAATAATTCCATTATTTCACCATGGCTGATCATGACACACCTCCCAGTCGTATCGCATCACTTAGCTATATCGTATAGCTCAGCCGTAACATTTCTGTCATCCGCACCACCGGTCTCAGTTGTATCACAATACTCAGCCGTGACACACCTCCCAGTCGTATCGCACCACTTCGCCATATCATATGTCTCAGCCGTAACATTCAGTCGCACTCACCCCACACCTCCCAGCTACATACATACAGATTATCCATGTGTTAGATAACGTGGATGTATTTTGGTAATATATAAATGGCAGTATAAGATATAAATTACTTAATATGCTTTCATGTTTCATGTGATGACAGACATTTTCTCCTTTAAGGCAGTTTTGTACCCTGCACTTCCGGTCTTCTGGGCCCGATGGGCACCAGCTGCAGAATGGAACCGGATGTTGGGAATTTCACTTTCTGGTAAAACAAACAATCAAAGACTACGAAATCCTTTGGGTAACACTTAGACATCAAACGTACATCCCCTTGAAACAAGAGAAGGAAACACTCAGATCAGGATCAGATCACCCTCTGTATTCTCCTCAAGGGACGCTACTTTGCGACTTCTTGCCCTTTTTAGGGGTCACGAGTAGCCCCATGGTCTAAAGCGCCAACAATGGCTGTGCAAAGCTGCATCTCTGTCGTGAAAGGTTCGCTGGTAATGGGTGCGTACCCCAGTTACTCCCAGACATGACAATAGCTATGGGTTCAACAAATCCGTTAACGGTAACAGTTCAGTTGGATTTTCCTTGCAAAGTAAGCTGATACGTATGTCATTGAAATATTGATCAAAGCAGCAAAGACCACTCTCACTTCTCGCCCTAGCCAGCGTGTACAGTTTGAGTAAACAGGACCTCGTACTTAGCGCAACGACTGTCACGATCGCTTTGTGAAACGAGCCCACTGCTTTCCCTGGAGATGACTAATGTAATACAGTTCAAGATTCTGTCTCTGACCTCCTATCATTAAATGTCCATTGCTCATTGGAATACCTCCAAGGATTGATTACCATCAGGAACATTTACATCAGTACGAAAACAACATTTCGTGAGACCAGACACTTACACTTATGTGGCTGAACGGTTTTTCTCTGTTGCCATCCAAAGCCCTGGAACTACATACCACACAGACTGAAACGTAGACACACTTCATTCCTGTGTCAAATTAAAACTTTTCTATTTACACAACCTTTTACCTGTTCCAACTCTTTCTGTAAGCCCCATTGAAAGGCCGTACGTAGGTGAAAGGCTAGGCTCTATGATTTGTAATTTCTTCTCTATTTATTACAGGGGGACTTATGGGAAATGCCCTCATCTTTCCCTTTGGTGGATTTATGTGTAAATACGGACCTGCTGGTGGATGGCCGTCCTTGTACTATTTCCTAGGTAAAATAGTTCCACAGAGTTGTTGTGTAACGTCACCTTTGGCTTTGTTACGACTTTGTATGTCTTTAGGAATATAGTCTCACTTAGCTGTACCTATCTTTAATCTCATCTTTGTCATAATTGATTTATACTATGTTTATACTGCACGACTGTTGTTAATCCTTGCGGTGTTGGTTTCGGTGCGAACAAGGTTTAGTCCTTGTAGTACGTTCATGGCAATAGAGCCTCCGCAACTGTTGTTATTTCCATCTTTTTCGAAATTGATTTAAGCCATGTTCTACACCACTGTCGTTGTCCTTGTGCTACGCCCTACGTTGAAGACACACTCTGTTCATTATCATCGTTTCATTATTGGTTTGAGCATGTCCAAGGTTTTCCAACTTTAGGGAGCATGCGTGTGAACTGTGCCCTATGTAATGTGTTCCATACATCCGTTGTTAATCTCAATGGTATGCATTGCTGTACCATTGTCATAATCTCGATACATTTTGTAGTTATTATGTTTTAGTTAATAACACTGATAACGACCTCAAACCTGCATCACCTGCTTTTACCAATGTCGGCCTTTTACCTCACACAAAAATACTGTTCAACAACTTGGTTACAAATTGTCATGCATATCTTGTTCTACAGGAGGCGCTGGGTTTCTGTGGTGTGTTGTATGGGGTCTGACAGTTAGGGACACGCCTAGAGCCACGCCCTTGATAACAAACAAGGAGAGGGAATACATCGAACTTAACATAAAACTTCGAAATCTCAGTATAAGGGTAAGAGTCAAAAGAAAACCTTTCCTTCCACCTGTTTGATGAAATAACACGGAACACGTGAACAGCCAAGTGAAAGACAGAACATCAATGTATTGGTTAAATCCTCTTTTCAAGTGTAAATGTCTTTTTCCGGCAGTTGGGTGAGTGAGTTCAGTTTACGCCGCACTCAGCAATATTCCAGCTATATGGCGGCGGTCTCTAAATAATCGAGTCTGGACCAGACAATCCAGTGAGCTTGAGCATCAATCTACGCAGTTGGGATACGATGACATGTGTCAACCAGGTCAGCGAGCCTGACCACCCGATACCGTAAGGGCCTTATCAGTGAAAGGTTTTCTGTAGTATACATTTATCTTATATACCAATTTATATTTAGAGCTTTATTATATATTTAAATCAGGTCAGAAACCTGTGACAGCATTAGGACGTGCATTTATACAGATCTTTTTTACCTTTGTCCAGAAACCCCCGACACCATGGAAGGCCATGATGACGTCACGAGCCACCCTGGCCCTGATCGCGACCCACACATTCATCAACTATGGAATATACATGCTGATGACACAGCTCCCAACATACATGGAGGAGGTCATGATGTTTGACATCAAGTCGGTGAGAATGCTTCCAGCTTCTATGAACAGTTTGTTGCATCGTTTCCATCAGCCAAGAAAGTTACTATTAACAAGACAAAACATTGATTACACATTGTTTCCTGCTGACTGGGTTCCGTCCTATAGCGCAACTTAGTACTATAACCGGTCCAGAATTTTTAGACCCACTCATTCAACTGGATATATAAATATTAATCAGTATTATTTCATACATCTAATCACTTGTATATTGCAACTCTACTCTCCTAATTATTGCAAACACGTCGTGCAGCGTGCTCTGTCGTACCATGTGCTCTGACAAACGGAAATCTGGAAATCGTGGATATCTCAAAACGAGGTTCGGCCGCTTGAAATGTTTGGCGGTCTTGTACGGCCTTGCTATTATATCAATCATGTTGTACGTTACAAAAATACATTTAATAAGCGCAAAAAAGCACATAACAGGTGTAGCCAGTGAGCCAGATGAATTATCATGCAAAACTTCATGCTGCCTTAACCTCGCCATAAAATATTGAAATACGATTTATTTAAAGTTTAATCTTTAAATTCATCTGTAAATACCATTTTCTTATGTAACAAGGAATTGGAATTTTGTGTAACCATAGTTGTTTGTAGTGTCTCTTTTCACTTTCACACGGGAAAATTCTGATCGGCTGAAGAGAAGGCCATTGTCTGAATTGGTTTATGAGACTCATGTTTCGGTTTGGACGATCATGCGAGAAGCTACCATTAGCTCATACAATGCACTTAAAAGTAGCACAATTTAAAGGACAATGTAATGGATGTTTATAAATGCTAGGTGTGGTGATATATATATATATATGTTCGTCAGTGAACAAGACACCATCCCACGCATATATATATACTGTATATATACTGAACTACAAAAGTAAGCACATTTGTGGAAATTGTATTTAATTTTCAACAAGTAACACTTGATGCTATAATTCATCACGCATAGAAATAGAGTGACCATTTGACCGCACAATGGAAGTGTCAAAAGACGTGTTCAATCCAGGACGTCAAGCTGACGTTACACATTGTAGGGTAGGGGGTGAAACGTTCCAAATGACAAAAACGAGTTAATAGCGTGTGTAGGCTCCACGTGCGTGAATGACGGCTGTGTATCGTTGTCGCATACTGCGAATGAGGGTGTTGATCTGGACGACTGTGATATTGTTCCACTCTTGACGCAGGGCCTGCTCAAGTTGATGGATGTTCACCACATTGAGATGATGATGACGCACTCGTCTGCCAAGGAGGTCCCACGCATGCTCGATAGGGGACAGGTCTTGTGATCTTGCAGGCCAGTCTAGTACCCGGATGTTGGATGCCTGCAAGAGCTGCGTGGTCAATCTTGCAGTATGGGGTCGTGCATTGTCCTTCTGGAACAGGAACTGTGGCCGATTCTGCATGAATGGAATGACGGTTGGTGTGATGATTTCGTCACAGTAGCCCTGAGCATTGAGCCTTCCAGCGACTACAACCAAGTCTGTTTTCCCGTTCAAGTGGATACTAGCCCACACCATCACGCTACCTTAACAGTAGCGGTCCCGTGCAATGACGTTGGCGGAGTCACAGCTTTCCTCTCTTCTCCGCCATACCCGAGCTCTACCGTCCGCAAACTCCACACAGAAGCGCGAATCATCACTGAATAATGTTTGGCTACACTGTTGTTGTCGCGACCGTTGATGGATCTGCGCCCACCTCAATCGTTCATTCAAATGACGTGGTGTTAATGGCACGCCTACAACCGGACGTCGGGCACGTAGGCCTGCTGCATGGAGACGCCTGCGGACTGTCTGGAGGGGAATGTGTGTACCCGTAGCTTGCCGCAGCTCGTTGGCCAGACGTGCTGCGCTTGTTAATCTGTGTCGTCGTGATAACGTCAAAATGTGGCGGTCTTCCCGTGGGGTGGTAGAACGAGGCCTTCCTGACTTTGGTCGGTCTCTAACTTGGCCAGTTTGTTGGACCCGTTGCCGCAGACGAATAATTGTGCTGTAATGCACTTAGAAGTGCCTGGCGACGTCTCTTACTTGCTGGCCAGCTCGTAGGGTTTCATTGCGTTCAATCCGAGGGCTTCATTGCGTTGTTTTTCTGACATTCCAAGCCATGAACAATTCTTTGCGGTTTATGTACACTGATACTCCAGTGTGTCATGTCAGCCCTTATATACACCCCAGATTTTTCTGCCGATGGGCATAAACATGATATGCACGTGCACCATCCTGGTTTTTACAACGGTCCAACAATCGAGTAAAGTTTGATGGCACTCAAGTGTGTCATCATTTGTTCACGTTTGGGCCAAATTTCAGTATTTTGTCTCATATCATTCTTTTGTATGTAAATGTTACAAAAATGTGCTAAACGTTTGTTGTTCAGTATATATATATATATATATATATATATATATATATATATATATATGCGTGCGTGCGTGCGTGCGTGCGTGCGTGTGTTTACAGGTGTTTACAGTATGCACCATCTAAGTGAGGCAAAGCTTGCCAATGTCGATCGACAAGGTTCAGTCCTAGGCTCTATGCTTTTAGCACTCTTTCAGCTACATGTCGACCTACAAGACAAGATGAGGACCGGCAACATGAACGGCAACTGTGAAAGATGATATTGTTGCAGAATGGATTATACTCCATGTTGCCGTACCTGGTGTTCTGGGGTGTCGTGGTGCTGACCAGCGGGCTGTCCGACTATCTGGTGTCCAGGAAACTACTAAGTGTTGGTGCTACCAGGAAGTTCCTGAATACTCTAGGTACTCCCTGTCATTGATCCATAGAGGTATTGGATATTAAAGTACGAGTCGTATACCTTAATTAGCAACCTTATTAGCAATATTAAAGTATACTTACAACGCTGGTAGTGTCGGGGATACTCCTCTTATTGTCTCAACTGTTATATACTATCAAAAGAAGTTTGGGATATTCCATTTTGCGAGCATACCACTAGCCAATGCCAATGCATACGAGAAAAAGTAATATATATCCATACAGATGAAGCATTTCAAAGGAATGGAATAAATTGTCACATTTTCCCTTCATTTCTCTTCATCATCTCTTTCCTCCTTGGCTTCATCATTTGCATTTTATCAATCTTGTAAATCCAATATCCCCTTCTTTTCTTTAATGGTATATTTGACGTCAGATGTTACCCAATCTCCCTCTTAAGAGTGGGATGGGTTTAAAGTTTTCAACAGTATTTTAGTTATATCACGGCGTGTCGAGTTGATACAGGGGAAAACGTCCGACATTTACCAACTCACGAGCACTAGTAAGGTGCTGATAAATCTAGGATTAATAAGAAACTCTTTACCGAAGAGAATTATAACTCTGGTCATCAGAAAATCCTAAGGTGTTTCATTTACTTGGGAAATAAGGTCACTTTTCATTTAAATTGAAAAGCAATAAGAACCAGATTGATTTATACTATCCAATAGCTTTCATCGAGTGATTGGAGAGCTCGACTTTCGTGGGCTGATCTTTCCACATGGGTACAATGTGTGAGGCCCATTTCTGGTGATATTGCTGGAATATTGCTAAACGCGGCGTACATTCATGATAACTTAGTCACTCACTCTCAAGAGCCTTCCACTTTCCCCCAATTGCTGATAACATCATCAGCTAACATTATATGCTATCTTCTCGAAGAAGTGAAAGTTTGCTGTATAACATGAGTTAACTGCGTTTTGTCTTGTCTCAAGGGTGTATGCTTCCGGCCGTGTCAATGCTGGTATTAGCAATGGCAAACTGTCTTCCGCTTCCGGTAGCTATAACCATGCTGTGTGGAGCTGTTGGATTGGTAGGATTCGCTTTTGGAGGCTATCTTGTAAACTACGCCGACATCGCACTGCAATTCTCTGGAACACTTAGTGGCCTCGGTAACTGCATCAGCAGCATTGCTGGGATCATTGCTCCGTACATCGTGTCTTCCATAACAGTTAATGTAAGTCGACACCAAAAGAAACAAACCTCAGAATCTTACATCATAAAGACGTATAATATATGTGATTCACATGGCTAAAGAGCCGTTGTGAGCTCTGCTTACCTCCATATGGGTTTCATTGCTCCAGGGATCCGATAGTCAGGGGTTTGAATCCCGATTTGGTATAACAACATCCGTTCCAATGTTTTCACCGGATTGTCCAATATCCAGTTTTGTTACTATATGTCAGAGTGTTTTGGTGACAGATGATCTCAATCAGGAAGATAATATGGAATACGACTTTAAACTTTATATTATCCATACATAATAAAATATATCTGAAATCGAAAATATTCATATTGTATGACAACCATTTAAATTGCCACTGACTTTACAAAACACAATTCAACAAATACGATTGTTTCTTCTTTTTACTGACAATTTCTCAAAAAACGTAACATGATTCTATCAACATCTGAAATGGTAAATGCACCATAAAACACGTAAAGGTGTTCCTTTTTTAATGACAATATGTCTCAAAGAAACTGTATAAGAGCTTTTTCAATCAGTTTACCATGCATCACATCAATAAAGTAGTATTGTTTTTACTGTTGTGTTAAAGAGATGGGGTGAAATCTTATACAGACATTGGATAAACGTAAATTTAAAACATCTGGACAATTTGTCAATACTTTGGAAATCAACAGTAGCTATTCATATGAATGCACAAAACAAAATAAAAACATAACTCAAAATATATGTCCTTCTTTAGCGTGTAGTGGCAAAAGGAGCTGTCTACATCTACAATATACGCAAGTAATGTTTAATAGAGCTGCTGCCACATTGCATGAATATTATTCTATATCATAAGTTATAGGACTGGGTATACACATGCATAAGCTCAAAACTAATAAGAATATATTCGTGAATAAAAGCATCAGGAACTACGATTTTGAGATTCTAAGTATAATAATGTCGTCTTGAATTCCAATAAAGTAAATTCTTCATCTAAAACGTAACGTTGGTCAATATATAAAGGATTCATGGGCTGTCAGGTCAGAATGGAGACGTCAGTTTACCAAATAAACATTTGTTATTAACAATAAAATAACCTATTCTATTCATATCGTCTGTCTTGACTCAGACGTTGAACATAAGTACTCTGACAGAATGGAAATTGTAAAAAATTGACTTCTTCCACTATATCATCTCTATTATATAAAAATGCCTTGCTCTGGCATCCTCTAAATGTCTTCTTAGCGGACATATTCGCCTCGCCCAGACCATCTCCCGTTCCCTGTTCTCTCTCATGCATTTGTTTTATCAGAGACGAGATAAGTAAATCAACAAATATACTAGTGACGTTCTACATCTGTCACTCAAAACCTGGGCTCATCGACACAGACTTGTCTCATGAATGTATTTTTGTTCTGCAGGGAACGCGACAGGAATGGCAGTATGCGTTTTTTCACCGGATTTGGGTCGTTTTCTCTGGCTGCCCTGATTTTTCTGATTTTTGGGAGTGGAGACATTCAACCATGGGCCAAACATGAATCTATTACAAAAGAAATCCGATCGGCGTCTGATGCAACCCTACCAGACAAGGACGCAGACACGGAGCAGTCATGTGCTTGACAAACATAATGTTGGTGCCTAAAGTGACATAAAACTAAACAAACTACTCAGTTGTCAGTGTCATAGTGGTGTGCTCTTTATGTTCATATATTTTTCATTACCCCACCGACACCAAAATGATACAAGAAGTGTTCAATGGTTAAACGGATCAAGGGACAAAGGGTTTCATGGGGGATAGCATCCATTATTATCTTGAATCAAGATAGGATTTCTTTCTCAATTATGCGCAAAATGTCATATGTCAGTCATGTATAATCTCTGCACGTATTTCACATTTAGTCAAATGTCCAAAAACAGATGAACGTCTTGTGATCGTGATGTCTACCAGCGTTGAGCACGGGAGCTGTGATTGTAGCCACGGTATCAATTCCCTTCAGCGCACATATGGCTGGCGTTTTCGAGAAGCTTCTTCTTCCAGTCTTCCATCTGTAGATCCGGTCCACTCACGAGTTTCATTTCAACTCTCTTTGGGTTAACATAAACTGCGAATACAGGCCACATCTTTTTGTTGTATCTGGCACCATGGTGTGGCTTGCTGTCACCAATGCAACCATATCCCAACACCTTTCTGTTGTTGGTGTCCAGGAAGGATACCGCCATCTTGTCAGCATCAACAAGAACTCCGTACTTTAATGTCACAGATGTTCCTGCCTTATTCTCAAACATGTGGTCTGCTGTTGATACGTACCCATTAACAGTTATATACCTCGTCCCGTTATTCTCAGTATTTGCTATGTGCAGACTGCATGAATTAGGCCGACCGAGGATATAATGACAACTGTCCATGACATCCTCTCCACACACTCCGACCTCAAACACAAGGTTCCTATCACCCAGAGGCTTGTCCAGTTCCACATCCGCCTCCACCTCCCAGTACACCAGGCCGCTAGAGGGCAGTGGGGAGATGCTGCAGGTACCGCAGTAGTTCTTCAACATCTTCCCACTAATGCCCACTCTTCTCCATTCAGGATGTGTGGTGTTGATGAGAAGGCCTTTGTCATTAATGTGTGTTCTGTAAAGGTTTACTCTGTCGGAATCAAACATCATCTTTGGACCTGTCACAGGATGAGGCAAAATACAATGTTTACAGATAACAGTTAATATATCATACATCGCGTATATTATTGCGCTTGTTTTAGCAGCCTAGAAATACACACATTCTGTCGTCCCGGTGGCATCGTATACATCTATGGCGATGGGGTAACCGAATGTTTAAAGTGTTCATTCGTCACGTCGAAATGAACACTTCTATTACCCACATGGGTACAATGTCTGAAGCCAATTTCTGGTGTCCCCAGGCCGTGATATTGCTGGAATATTGCTAAAAGCGGCATAAAACTAAACTCACTCACTCAAATACAACCAATGGCATCACAAGCCCCTTTGTCCCGACTTCACTGGGATCGTATCCCGCTCTTCCTCCTCCTTCATTGGGTGTTCTATAACTTGTTCTCAAACAAATACGTGCACTATGTGAAAGGTCAAAATTCACTCTCTTTCTTAACTGATTATGAACCTTATTCTTAAAGACAAATTACATTAAATGAAATATTTCAATACCAAATAATATTGCCTCTATGTTACGTCGTGATCTCGTGTCTCAGACCATATTGGACGAAGACTGTTATTTTTAATATTTTTGTATTTTAGTTATCATTACTGTCTATATTATATACGTGTTATCTTACATTGCAAACGATATTTAAGAGTACACTCATTTTTATTCGGATATTACAACTGATAGCATGTATCATTACTGTAATGGTTCATTTTTAAAAACTATAACAATTAATTTGTCTTCACACTTTATCTAAGAGTCATGGTGAACATAATATTCGTATGACACATACACAAAGATATTAATATTCCCTCTTACCTGAATAGAAGCTCAAGAGAGATCTACCCACACAACATAACTGGCGCGACTGCAATGTTGGCTGTGCACTAGGCAATAGAGTAACCTCCTTTGAATAGTGACACGTGATAGCAGTTAGTGAACGAAGCGTCATAAAATATCAATGCGACACCGGATAGAACGACGCCTTGCCTAGAGGTGAGTGAGGGAGAATGTTTTAGCAATATTCCAGCAATATCATGGCGGAGGACACCAGAAATGAGCCTTACACATTGTACCCATGCGGGGAATCGAACCCGGGTTTTCGGCGTGACGATCACCGCCCTCTTTTTAGCTGTACCGGTGTGTACGTATGTATTTAACGTGACGAACGAATGTATGTATGTTGGATGTATGTATGTATGTATGTATGTATGTATGTATGTATGTATGTATGTATGTATGTATGTATGTATGTATGTATGTATGTATGTATGTATGTATGTATGTATGTATGTATGTATGTATGTATGTATGTATGTATGTATGTATGTATGTATGTATGTATGTATGTATGTATGTATGTATGTATGTATGTATGAACGGATGGATGCATACTTGCATGTAGGTATTAAAAAATACCAAATATCGGAAGAATTGCTTTGCTTCTATTCCACAGTTGCAGCATTTATTCCATACGTGTTAGATATCCATGGATGGATGGATGGATGCATGCGTGTATGCATTAAAAGACACATATAAACATGTATGTATATATGTATGGGTGGACAAATGGTTCCATGTATGTATTAAAAGAATAACAAATATACTGACGTACATGAGAAAGTACACACCTGGTGTTTTGGGACTATTCCCAATAAAACCATAAATATTTTGCTAGCAATGCTGTAATTGGGCACAATATCTGTGTTGTTTTGGAAACACTTGCACAATGTTTGTGACAAGGCAGAATCAAAAGACTTTGTAAATATTAATGCTGTTTTAAAGAAAATATTTTATCAAAGAATCAGGTGTGTACTTTCTTTTGAACGTCAGATTATCTGAAGAACACCTTTGGTTGCGGTTATTCCGCACATGTTAGATATCTACGATCTACTTCTCACATAAAGACACTCGTATTTCTTAAAAATCCCATTGTACATATGATACAAATTTGCTCACAATCAATTGCAGTAATGGCACAGTCCTGGTCCCTCTCCAGTTCATGCAGGTACGTGTTGCCGTTGAGGACTGAAAACAACATGGCTACCCACTGAGTATCAAACCACTGACTGAATGTGAACCAGACCTGAGGACCTGTTCTACCCGATGTATCAGTGTATATATGTGGTATTTATACCAGTTCTCTGTGTGTCAGTGTTCCGAGACAAGATGTATATGTGGTATATATACCAATTGTTCTATATATACGCACCATATAGATGGGTGCTTTGTACTGGGTTTGGGTGTTTGACATCAGTATCAGGTTGTGCCATCTAAGTGAGGCTACAGTTGCCTGAGGGGATCGACAAGGATCAGTCCTAGGCTCTTTGTTTTCAACACCGTTTCAGATACATCGCAACCTACAATACAAGATGAGGACGGGCAATATAAACGGCGATTGTGAAAGATGATTATGTTGCAAATGGATTATACTCCACGTTGCCGTACCTGGTGTTCTGGGGTGTCGTGGTGCTGACCAGTGGGATGTCCAACTGTCTGGTGTCCAGGAAACTTCTAAGTGTTGGTGCTACCAGGAGGTTCCTCAATACTCTAGGTAATTCCTGTCCTTGTTCCATGGAGGTACCCGTGAAGATCCGAGTTAGAATAGGGCTTCAGTAACCCATGCTTGTCGTAAGGGGCGACTAACGGCATCGGGTGGTCAGGCTCGCTGACATATGTCATCGTATCCCAGTTGCGTAGATCGATGCTGTTAATTACTGGATTGTCTGGCACACTTGATTATTTACAGAACGCCGCCATATAGCTGGAATAGTACTGAGTGTCGTTAGGCGACAACCAAACCAAACCCATGGAGGTATTGGATCCGAATCTTTGATTTGGGCAGGAAGCAGCTACAAAAACGTCCACAACGTAGAAGCTACAATACCTTTTCATGAGAAGTGTGTGGGGTGGATGACCTTATTAGCAATATTAAATACATACAACGATTGAGGTGTCGGGAATGCTCCTCTTATTGTCTCACTTGTTATATTTGACTTCAGATGTTACCCCAATCTCCCTCTTAAGAGTGGGTTGGGTCTAAAGTTTTTGAACAGCATTTCAGTTTTATCACGGCGTGTCAAGCTGATGCAGTGAAAAACGCCCGATTTTTACCAGTTTAGAAAACTCGCAAGCAATGGTAAGTGGCTGACAAACCCAGAAATAACTAGACACGAAACTCTACACCTCAGACAATTATAACTTCGATCATCAGAAAACTATTTATTGGTGAAATAGGTCATTCAAATTGTCAATACTACAGCAATAGCAGCCGGGCTGAATTAAAATATATACACTTTGTTCTATCAATGCTTACTTTCAGGTAAATATACTAGTCATATAACTCTTATCGAGTGAAAAACTCTCAAGAGCTCGATTCAGCACATGGGCACAATGTGTAAAGCCCATTTATGGTGTCCCCCACCCTGATATCGCAGGATTATTGCTAAAAGCGGCGTAAAACCATACTCATTCATATTCAAGAGCTTTCTACTTTTGCTTAATTCTCAATGACATCATCAGCTGTTATCTTCTCGAAGAAGTGAAAGTTTACCGTACAACATAAGCTAATGGCGTTTTGTCTTGTTCTCAAGGGTGTATGCTTCCGGACTTGTCAATGTTGGTATTAGCAATGGCTAACTGTCTTCCGCTTCCGGTAGCTATAACCATGCTGTGTCGGAGCTGTTGGATTGGTAGGATTCGCTGTTGGAGGCAATCTTAACTTCGCTGTAAAATACGCCGACATCGCACTGCAATTCTCTGGGACACTTAGTGGTCTCGGGAACTGCAGCAGCAGCATTACTGGGATCATTGCCCGTTACATCGTGTCGTCCATAACGGTTAATGTATGTCGACACCAAACGGAACAAATCTTCGATCATACAGATATCATATAATATATGTGATTCACAGATCGCAAGAGCTGCTGTGAGCACTGTTTACTCATGTATGGTTCATTGCCCCTGGATCCGAGAGTCATGGGTTTGAATCCCGATTTGGTATAACAGCACCTGTTCCAGTGTTGAAAGTGTTGTATCGGCAGAGATTTCTTTAGACTTTGGGGGTGTTTTCACCGGATTTTCTGATATCTAGTTTGTTCATGTGTCTGAGAGTGTTTTGATGACTGATCATCTCAATCAGGAAGATAGCATGGAATGGGATTTTAAACTTTATATTATCCATACATAGGAAAATTATCTCATGCATGGAAAATATCTCTATCATATGACCAACATTTAAACGGCCACTGACTTGGCAAAACACAATACAAACAATTGCGATGGTTTCTTCTTTTTACTGACAATTTCTCTCTAAACGTAACGCGATTGTATCAACATATGAAATGGTAATCTGCAAGTGTACCATAAAACATGTAAAGGTGTATCATCTTTAATGACAATATGTCTCAAAGAAACTGTATATTAATTTTTCAATCAATTTAACATGAATCACATCAATAAACTAGTATTGTTTTTACTGTTGTGTTAAAGCGACGGGGTGAAATTATATACACAGATTGGGTTAACGTACATTTAACAGATCTGTACACAATCAATATCAATACACAAAATAAAATAAAAACATTACTCAAAATAGATTTCCTCCTTTTCTCAATTTTAGTACCACAGAAAATATGGATCTTCGATTTTATCAGTTGTTACGGTTAGGTTACACAAATCAGAAATCAAGTGAATTCTGTTGGATTATGTTATCGTCCGTTTGGCTCAAAAGCGGACCGATGAATTGCAATCTAACTCGAAAACTAATACACATGTAATACTCAGTGAAACACTGATCATAATCAAAACATCAGACCAACTCTGTGATTTTTTGGCAGAATTCATGTCCGAAAAATAAAGATGTTGTTTAACAAACTATCATTAAAATTTTGCTTCACGTACACCAAGCTGTTTCTTTCTTTGCACTCCTCCCTCGTAACAAATAGTGAACTGTGTAAAAAGTTTAATGATAGTTTGTTAAACAACTTATTTGTAAATGTCGCTGCAAAAGGGGTTGTTTACACAAAAGTACGAATAGAAAAATGCTCCAGGTCTATTCGACTCGCCCAGACCTTCTCTCGTCCCCTTTTCTCTCTTATACATTTGTATTATCAGAGAGTAAATCAACAAATAAACCAGCGACGTTCTGCATCTGTCACACAAAACCTGGGCTCATCGACACAGACTTGTCTCACGAATGTATTTTTCTTCTGCAGGGAACGCGACAAGAATGGCAGTATGCGTTTTTCACCGGATTTGGGTCGTTTTCTCTGGCTGCCCTGATTTTTCTGCTTTTCGGGAGTGGAGACATTCAGCCATGTGCCAAACATGAATCTATTACAAAAGAAATCCGATCGGCGTCTGATACAACCCTACCAGACAAGGACACAGACACAGAGCAGCCATGTGCTTGATACACATACTGTTGGTGCTTAAAGCGTATAAGCCAAACCAAGTACTTGCTTGTGTTATACTGGTGTCTGTTTCATGTTCATATTTGTTTCATTACCCCATCGACGCCAAAATGATACAAGAAGTGTTCAATGGTCAAACGGATCAAGGGACAAAGGGGTTTCATGGGAGATAGCAACCGTTACTATCTTGAATCAATTACAACCTGGATCTTGGTTTGATTATACAACTGACTATTCATTTGATTAATTTCAAAACCAATACGTTTTGGTCAAGATGCATTCTAAGGCTGTGATATTGACTTTAGGTGACTTATCACAACTCATATGATCAACATGCGATTAACACTTATCATATGCGAGCCAACGTATTATTTATCTTTCTATCATTTTGTTTAATTCTTTTTGAGGGCTGAGGATCATGCATTCACATGTCAGATAGATTTATAGTCAGCACAGATTCACATTTCAATCCTCATTAACAGACCCAATCACAAAGAAACAATAATATCCTGAAACAAACCCACAGCAACTCTCCAATTGCTTATTAAATATACTTTCAAACAAATCCCCTGTAGCAAGTTCTTTTTTCCACGAAAACAGCAGATAAGATTTCTTTGCCAATTATGCACAAAACGTCATGAGTCAGTCATGTATAATCTCTGCACATATTTAACATTTAGGCAAATGTCCAAAAACAGGTGCACTTCCTGTGATTGTGATGTCTACCAGTGTTAACGTTGAGCACGGAAGTAGTGATTGTAGCCACGGTATCAATCCCCTTCAGCACACATATGGCTGGCGTCTTCGAGAAGCTTCTTCTTCCAGTCTTCCATCTGTAGATCCGGTCCACTCACGAGTTTCATTTCAACTCTCTTTGGGTTACTATAAACTGCAAATACAGGCCACATCTTCTTCTTGTATCCAGCACCATGTTGTGGCTTGTTGTCAACAATACATCCAGATCCCAACACCTTCTCTGTTGTTGGTGTCCAGGAAGGATACCGCCATCTTGTCAGTATCAACAAGAACTCCGTACTTTAATGTCACAGATGTTCCTGCCTTATTCTCAAACACTTTAGCTGTTGCTGCATCCTTTCCATTAATAGCTATATACCTTATCACATCATTCTCACCATTTGATATGTACAGACTGCATGAATTAGGCTGACCGCCGATATAATGACTACTGTCCATGACATCCTCTCCACACACCCCGACCTCCAACACAAGCTCCCGATCACCCAGAGGCTTGTCCAGTTCCACATCCGCCTCCACCTCCCAGTACACCAGGCCGCTAGAGGGCAGTGGGGAGATGCTGCAGGTGCCGCAGTAGTTCTTGAACATCTTCCCACTAGTGCCCACTCTTCTCCATTGAAGATGTTTGGTGTTGACGAGAAGGCCTTTGTCATTAATGTGTCTTCTGTTCAGGTTTACTCTGTCGGAATCAAACATCATCTTTGGACCTGTCAGAGGATGAAACAAAATACACTGTTTATAGATAACGGCTAATATCTATCATACATGGCGCCTAAGAAATGCACCCATTCAGTCATCCTGGTGATATCATTTATAACCGGGGCGATGGGGTAGCGATGGTTAAAGCGTTTCCTCGTCACGGCAGAAATACCACCAATGTCATCACAAGGCTCTATGTCCCGACTTCACTGGGATTCATATACCGCTCCCCCTCCACCTTCTATGGTTGTCCTTTAATATTTTCTCAAACGGATACGTGCACTGTCAGTAAGGTCAGTATTCACTCTCTTTCTGAAATGAATGTCAGCTTTATTCTTTTAAAAAATTACATTTAATAAATTATTTCAACACCAAACCATATTGCGTCTATGATACTTCGTGACCTCGTGTTTCAGATCAAGCACGAAGAATGTGTTTTCGTAATTTGTATTAACAGTTTACAGCTTAAATTATAGATGGGGGATAGCTCTTCACAACTAATGAAAAAAGGATTAACGGAGTTGTCTCTCTTGAATGAAACCAAGCACTTGATAGCTGGTCAAGGTTGTTTATACTAGAAATCCAATTCAACATATTCCTAAAATTCTCAATAATTTCTGGTCATACTATATTATAGATGTGTTATCTTACATTGGAGATATTTCAGAGTACACCCAGTTTTTTCGGATGTTACAACTGATGGCGTGTGTCATTATTGTAATAGTTGTTTTTTTAAAAACTAACATTCTCTGATCATATGATCTATTTCCTGTACCTTCACTGAAACATCACTTCGCGGATTTCCTTCTCGCTGTAAATAATAACTCATTTATACATAACATGTGAACAGAGCTTGTTACACTTCCTTGCTTAGTTGTCCTTTAATATACTTAAACATTAGAGGAAAATATACTTACATAGAACAACATGTGGGGCTCTGTTCACTGTACCAAGCACATGTAGCCAAGTGTCTTTGTCGTTGCCTGGAAAAATTGGGTACCTTAAGTGTTACGTTAATACCAGAAAAAGTACATTGTGAGAGAATGCATTTTATTATTTGCTGGATAATGTGTGTAAAGCAACAAAATATAAATGCCTTGCATATCTGTGAATGAGTAACACTATTTATAAGAAATCTCTGAAAAAGATCAGAAATAAAACAATTTCAATAGTTCTATAGGACAGATGAATGTGTGAGTATGGCTTTGCGCCGCATTTTAGCAATATTCCAGCAATATCACGGCGGAGGACACCAGAAAGCGGCTTCACACATTGTACCCATGTGGGGAATCGAACCCGGGTCTTCGGCAGGACGAGCGAACGCTTTAACCACTAGGTTACCCCATCGCCCCCAAAGGAAAGATGAAGGAGTTTGTGAGGAAGGAAAGGCAGCTGAACGTTTTATATGAATGATAACTAATTTGGATTTATTCTACTGCTATTGCTTGGGGCGAGGCTTGTCTGTCACTGTAATGCATACATAACGTTTACAAGACATATATCGCCCTGCCTGTAAGGATGGTAAATTGCTTGTCGGATATACTTCATGGTTAAGATGTAGCCCACTTAACGTTCTAGATTAGAATTATTCTTCAGCAACCCATGGTTTTCGACCAATGAGATCAGGTGGTCAAACTCCCTGACTTGGTTGATGTCATCGTAAAGTGACCTATGGTCATGATGTCAATCACTGTATTCATTGTTTACAGGTAGATGTAATATAGCCCTAATATTGCCGAGTGCGGCGTATAACAACAAACCCACTTTATATATCAGTAATGAGGAAGAGGCATATTCAATACGGGGTTACTGGTAATGTAACTAACAGTCATTAAGAAATGTCAGACCGCCTCCGTGGTGTAGTGATTAGAGCGTCCGCCCTGAGAGCGGAAGTTTGCGGGTTCGATCCCCGACCGCGTCACACCAAAAGACGTGAAAATATGGTACTTGAAGGACTGGTCGGCTTGGAGTCAGTATAATGTGTCTGAGTGGGGTATTCATGCTTCACTGCAGCATGGTATCTCAGTGGGCTAGCACTATAAAACCAGCTTCAGTCTGGGCTAGTACAAGCAGCCGCATATACACATACACACGCATGCACGTCGTCATATGAGCGAAATATTCTCAAGCGACTTTAAACCCAATTTCACCTCACCTCACCTAAGAAATGTCACCACATGTGACACTCGTAAACAAAAGGTTCTTACAAGAAGCAAATAATGGCTTGACAGGGTTTCTTATCATCTACGACTGTACCATGTATTCTCTACTGAAGAAACTTACCCATGGGATGCAACTGAATTACGATCCCCTGAAGTCTGGATACATCCTCCTGCAAAGTCTTCACCTTCTGTTCATTTTGAGAGGCTTCCTTTTCCAGTGCACTGATTAGCTGGACGGTATAAATAAACAGAGCACTTTCAACATCTGAATATGTTCTTTACTGTGACCATCGTTACTGATCTTGTTATTATGATGACAATAGGTTCAGTGACTTCTCTTTTGATAAGATTACATCACTTGAGATAAATAAAGCGTATTAAATGCATAAACAGCTCCCATACCTACGGGTCTTCAGACTTTCTGTCATAGTTCAAAACATTATTACTAAAAAAATATTTACCCTCTGAGCCTCTCTGTTCTGTGTCTGAAGTTCATCAATATCTGCTTCCAGTTTCATCTGAAGGCCTGAAAGAACATCAACTGCAGATATAGCCAAGAAATACACAGGGTACAATGCTAGTAGGGATTTAGACATGTTATCCTTATTCCAAAACCTGCTTTGATGGAACAGGAGTAACCCATTCATAGCATGTAGAATACAATTGTTTTTGAATAACATGAACGTATACCGTAGTTAGATACGTCGACGTCGAAGGGACCTGCGTGAATACTTCGAGGTAGCCGATGTTTGACAGAACCGATGAATTACGAATAATGAAGGCATACACAGTGGAAAGGTTTTACTTCGAGACAACTATAGGTTCGACACAGCAAATGACTATTACAAAATCCATATAAACACTTCTGACAAACACACTGCCCAGAACACACACGCACAACCATATCACTATAACTTTCAAATAATAGAAAGTATCAAAATAGAAGATTGAAGAAGATAGTCATAACATCTTACATGATCACCTGAATCTGGTTGAAAAGAACGTAAAAAGCAAAGCGACAGTTACCTGTTTTAAGTGATGCTTCCGGAGGTGATTCCGTCTGGGTAACTGAAGTCATGAAACCACCAAAGGATGATACTAAGGATTTCAAATCCGGTAAACCTTGCTTTGAGAAGACGACACACGGTTCGTATTTGTGAACAGCAGGAACGTCAGCCTTTATACAAGACTCAAAGGCCTGTGTGATGGAACTCTTCACTTTATGGAGTTGGGAAGGTGAGGCGGAGAGGAGAGTCCCGTTGATGTAGTCAAGGACTGTCTGGCAGCTTGTCTCTGATGACTTCAGGACAGGGAGTCGACTGTCGTTGATCTTCCTCATGGAGTCTAAAATCTTATCTAGCTCCACAAGCACCTCCTTCTCTCGCTGATCTATCACATCTCTCAGCTCAGAAAAAGTGTGTTGAACGGTGTCTCGGAGAGAAACGGCCTTCTCGTCAATATGTCTTGCTTGTGCAAGAACCGTTTCTTTTGCTGAAATTATCTTTTCCTTCTTCTCTGAAGCAGATATAATGTAAACTTTGAAGACGTCTTGTTCACGACTCAAGAACATATTGGCTGTGTCGGTACCGTGACTGACGTGATCTTCATAGTGGCATTTGAAACAGATGAAACAGTCACAGTCTTTATCGTAGACGTCCAAACGTTGTCCGTGTTTCTCACAGACGGACTGGGACATTTTCGATGTACATGGAAGATCAGAAATCCACTTCATTGTGTGATTCCTAGTTGCTTTCACCTCTGAGTGAGATATATGGCAGTGCTCGCAGAAATAGTCCTCACATTCCTGACACCAAGACATTGCCTGGTTCCCATCCATCTTGTTGGTACATTTGAAGTTTGACGGTCGGTGCTTCATTGTCTGGTTGAGAACGTCACCAAGAACAACATCGTCTACTGGGAAACTCCCGACATCTTTATCATGACTCTTCAAGCAGACAGAGCAGTCCAGAGTTGTGACTTCCGGTGACTTGAGACAGTCCTCACATACAGGATGTAGACAGGGAAGCAGGTGCGGCTGTGGTCCTCTGTACCTGAAGGAGGTGCTGCACACCACACATTTGGGGAACACAGAGTCTGAATCCATCCTGTAACAAACACATCCATGACCACTCATGATATTACAACTTGGAAGATATACACGGATCTTTGACGATCATACACCGTTTTAGATTCGAAAATTATTTGAACCTGATCATATGAGTTGATAGGACTTTATGCCTCTTTGGGCAATATCTATATATTACGGCCAGGGAATCGTGGCAACTGCAAAATTTATTTACACAGTTTATACGTTAACCATTGCAGTAATACGGTATATAAATTAAATAAACATTTCAAATTAAATAGAGTCGACAGGAATTTAATATGCTGAAAACTTTATATCTTATTATCTTATCTCACACATAAATGTCGCTTTCTGATTGGCTGAGCGCTCTTCTATTATTTTCAATGTACCCCGCTTACAAGCGAGTAACATTTCAATGTACCCCGCTGCCAATGGCAACTCATTCTGTACTTCGTGGTAGTAATTCTTTATCTCGAATAACATTGAATCACGTATGATGTACGGAAATTACCGATGTTTTGCGAATGCAAATCGATGGAAGGGAGATAACTCTAACTCTGTTTTTCTTGTCAGCAAAATCTAGCGATGGCTACAAAAAGATTTGTACCGGTGCTTCAAACAATTCAAACTTAACATTAAGGTGTTCGGTAAGATAAATACGTTGTTCACTGGTCCCTCGGGGCCCATGACTGATTATTATAATGGGTTGATGTACCCTTTATGTTTGTTTATGTTCCCTTTGCCCGAAGGGTTGATGTACCCTCGATGCTTGTTTATGTTCCCATTGCCCGAAGGGCGAGGGAACATAAACAAACATCGAGGGTACATCAACCCATGCCCCTCTCGTGACCCGAGATAATATAACCGATATAATAACTAGCTGACAAAGTGACCACCGTCTTCTAGTTGCTAAATCTTAATGAATCTTGATTTCTGGTGTCCCCTGCCCTGATATTGCTGGGTTTGAAATCAAACAATTTAGTTTGACGAGTTAACTTGAAAATATTTAGAACAGTGTTTCAGCACAAACTGTGGCACAGCATCGACCACGTTACTACACATGGAACACACGGACTCAACATATGCAGATTTTGTAAAACATCCTCTGATTGGACTACCAATATGTGCCTCAGTCTACTCACATTTCAGAAAGGTATCCTTGAAATGACAAGGGCTGAAACTATATAGTTTAGTTTTTTAGCAATATTCCAGCAATATCACGGCAGGGGACACCAGAGGTGGGATTCACATATTGTACCCTTGTGGGCAATCGAACCCCAGTGTTTGGCGTAACGAGCGAACGCTTTAACCACTTGGCTACACCACTGCCCGAGCAGTTGAGGTCGGGCGACCGATTCCTTTATACAATTGAGGATATCAACCATTTTATATCCGCTGGTGGAGGACAGGTGTTTTAACACAGAAAGATTTTTTTGCCACAGGTCTCTTCCAACAGGAAACACGAACTCTTTGGATCCTCCTCTCATTGAAACATATGTCTGTCTTTGTGGGAATTGTAAGTTTAGTGGTTATGGAGACGGTTTTGTGACTAAAATGTCCAAAGAGCCTATTCATATGTTGACCTTGTGGTACGACCCAGTGACGGATGCTAGCTACCAAGCCTGCAAACTTCGTGGACTTTTGCTTTCATCCACTGCCTTGCATGTTTCAGGGTAGATTATTTTCCAGACCTGGTCTGGTTGGTTTGAGTCGGACCAATTTGGGTTTGAATCCTGGTTTCCAGATTCATCAGCACCACACCCATTCTCATGATTCTAACTACAGTGGTAAATAACTGAGACCAACATCACTACGGGCTTTTCACAACCATGACTGATTGATTGTTGTCTAACGCCGCACTCACCAATATTCCAGCTATATGGCGGCGGTCTGTACATATTCGAGTCCGGATCCAGTGATCAGCATCATGAGCATCGATCTACGCAATTAGCATACGATGACATGCGTCAACTGTCAAGATCACAATTCGTATAATGTATGCCATATTTCATGTATTTGAGGTGTGATAGATTTGGAGCGAGGACTTGTAAGCTGATGTGACCAGTGAGCGACTGTCTGTGTTGGAGATGTCTTGGAGACCATTGTATGTATCTGGGAAGTAAGGTTGGGGGCCAATGAAGTCGGGTATTGCTTGGGGGTATATAAGGACTGATTTGAAAGTTGTGAGTCTGATACCAGCTGGAAACTGTATGTGTGTGTCAGGTTGGCTGGTTTTCCTGTATATTCGACTGGTGTGAGTATTATATTATCATTTTATGTTATGTTTTAGTTAGAATGTGTCAATGAATTGTTCATACACTGAGATTAATGGCATTTCACCTTAAAATATGTAACCTCAGGCTAAATATATTTCTTATTATTGGTGAGGTTAGTAATATGATGGGATTGTAATCTACATGATATCATATTATAGTGTAAGTAAGGTAGTGTACTGGCGTAATGATAATCATCAGTCAGCAGGTCACGAGTAATGTGGTAGTGCTGTGTATCAAGGGTCAGTAAAGCAGCCCTGTAGACATATCCTGTGTATGTGAAATATATGTGTATGTTAAGATGTCCGTATATTGTATGTGTAAAGTCACCAAGTACATGGTGTGATTTTATATCCAGCGTCCGGGGCAGGTGATACACCCCGTAAGGCTGTCCCACCGATCGATAGGGATCGACCCTGACAAGCCGCCCGTGAATTTGGACTCTTGACATCTGAGTGTCTGGGGACAATGACATGCCCTCCTGTAAGGCTGACCCAGCTGGTCCACAGAGATCATACCGACATGCCGCCTACTGTGTAAAGTACACAGGATCAAGTGTACAAGTGTTTCCATATCTACATGCTGGAGAAGGACTCCTCAACTTCCTCAAGAGATCTGAACTGACTGTAAATTCCACTTGTGGTCATATATTAACATCTTCAGTGATTGTGTACAGTACACTGGCTATTAATTAGTACTTTCGATGCATTTGGTCTGTATACTTCATTTAATGCATATACTATAATCATATGAACTGTTGTGTGTTTCTTTAAAATGACATGTGTAGTGTAATGTTGTGATATTTTGAGTGTTGAGTAGGGGAAAGGGAATGAGTGTGTTTGATGATTGTGAGGATGAAGTTGAGAGTGATAGCATATATACTCATGTCAATAATGGTTGTCACCCCCTTCAATATTTTTAATTGGAGAGGGGGTGTGGGGTGTGTGTGTGTGTGTGCGGGGTTGGTGTGGGGAGGGGGGTGACAACCATTATTGGCATGAGTATATGAATTATTGTAAGCAAGGAAGATTTAGTTAAAAAATTATATTTACTTTTTATTTGCAGTTTGTGTTTATTCAAGTATGTGACGTCAACCAAATCAGCGAGCCTGACCACCGGATCCCGTTAGTTGCGTCTTAAGACAAGGATGGGTTGCTGAAGACTAATTCTGACCGGATATTCACGGATCCGCAACCGTGACTATGTCACGCCGTGAAATAACTGAAATACTGTTTAATCCAGTCACTCAGGCGATGCATTTGGCTTTCCAAATTTGATATCCATTGTGATATGCACGGATGTTTGATACCGGTATTTACCTATTAAAAGACACGCCAGTTTTAGAACAATATAAAATCATGTGCAACTTATTACTTTCATTATACGCTTAATACCCGGATTCGATTCCCCACATGGGTACAAATAATGTGTGAAGCCCTTTTCTGGTGTCCCCCGCCCTGATATTGCTGTAATATTGCTAAAAGCGGCGTAAAAACATACCCACTCACTCACTAGTACCTGTATTATTGTGCCTACATTTGCGAAAAATGAAATAATGAAAACGTATTGTGATGTTCTCTGACGGTCCGCATTCTATTCAAAGTATTGAGAATAAATTTTACTTCCGGCTTACCTCGGAATGACACGGGCCAATCAGCAATGTATATTGTGTTCGAGCCGGGTATATGTTGAGTATGAACTGTTACACGGTATTTCAATGTGCCAGCATTATTAAACGGACATAAGTCCGGACTGGTCCACGTGGCATTTTAGTGCAGGCATATTGAACGCGACTTTAACCCCATTTCACACACATCGCATACCTGGCAACTGGCTCAATGGCGCTGTGTCTGTCTCAATATCGACCCGCGTCGATATCCGGCTTGAAATTATTAAGTACAAAAACAACATGCACTTGAATACAAACAGCAGCCTGAACCGCCTGTAGAAAGTCCAAGTTAGGAAAAACACAGACAGATACAGTATCAAGGAATGTAACACGAATATAACAGATCGCAAGCTTATAGTTACTTCCTATTTCCTGGAATCGAAAGTGAAAATAGGAATAGCTGTTTCATCGAGAAAGGTGTGCATGATACTGTAGATATATACACACACACACATTTCATCTAACAGTGTCTAAGTGCATACTGAACATCATAAACATATGACACACACAATGACACAGAGATGTTATTATTCCCTATTACCTGAATAGCAGCTCAGGAGAGATCTACCCACACATCGCCTTAATGTTGACTGTGCGCTAGGCAACAGAGTAGCCTCCCTTGAATAGTGACGCGTGAGTCAAAAGTTAGTGAACGAAGTCTTGTAAAATATCAATGTGACAACGACTAGAACAACACCTTGCCGAGAGGTGAGTGAGTGAGTGAGTGAGTATGTTTTACGCCGCTTTTAGCAATATTTAAGCAATATCACGGCGGGGATACGAGAAATGGGCTTCACAAATTGTGGCCATATGGGGAATCGAACCAGGGTTTTCGGCGTGATGAGCGAACGTTTTAACCACTAGGCTAACTCACCGCCCCTTTTTTACCGAGAGGAGGTCATGGAGTGGCTTCCAAGTTCAGCTGCAATACTGCGAGGTCTACGACAATTTACCTCAATGCTGCACCAGGGTAGACGCATTTATTTAGAGTGGCGAATAAATGTAGGTTGTTCTTTATCATTATTTTGATTTCTCAATATTTTATTCGATAGCAAAACATGAATGTTTGTCAACCCGCTTAATTATTCACAGCTGCTTATAAACAAACTCAGGTATATTTCTATGAACATAATCGAAATTAGAACAAATATTAACCGACTCCAAACAAAAATCTTGTGCCTTATTGAAAAGCACCAACATAAAATACGAATATAAAACATGTATTGCAAATAGACAGAAGGAGTGCACATACAGTTCAATATAATATTGTAAGCAATCAAATTGTGAACAATATAAAGAGAATATCATTCCGAGATAAAATCCTATGTTTTATACAATATTTATCCCCAAGTACAATGGATTTCAAATGTATATGGGCCTTGTACAAATTAGGCAGTTGACAAGAATGCTACAATGATATGAGAACGTCGGCATGGACAACACAAGGTGTGCAATAGTTTCATGACATCACCGGGTTGACGCCCCCTGAAGGAGTTCCAGTCCTCCATCTGAATCTCCTGGCCACCCACAATCTTCATGACAACACTTCTGGGGCCATGACAAAGCCCAAACATTGGCCATAATTCAGGGCCTGAACACATCACCCCAAATTCTCCCGATGGATGATGTCAAGAAAGTCTATTTTCATTTGATCCATGTCGAGGAGAACCCCGTAATGTAGTCTGGCATGCGTGCCCACATCATTGTCAACCACGTCGTCCTTGCTGCTTAAAGGTTTGCCATTCACTGTCAGATACATTGCAATTCATTCGTCACCACTCGCCCCTTTCCGTAAACTCCAACTATTCGGCTTGTCCCGGAATAACACGAGTTGGTCACGAATGATTGCAATTGTGTTGCTGTTGTCGCTGACACCAATCAGGAGGATAAACGAAGATGGCTGTATGTCTGTCTGTCTGGATGGATGGAGTGATGGATGAATGGATGGATGGATGCATGTTTGTGTGTATGCGTGAACTGTATGTATGTATGTATATATGTTTGTATATATGTGCGTGCGTGCGTGCGTGTGTGCGTATGTAGACCACTGACTGAACGTGATCTTGACCCGCTGGCATGTTCTACCCAGTGTATCAGTGTATATATGTGGTATATATTCCAGTTCGCTGTGTGTCACGTGACATGATATGATATATATGTTGTATATGTACCGATTGTCCTCTTGTGTGTTACGAGACATGATATGTTTGTGGTACATAAACCAATTGTCCTCTCTGTGTTTGTTACGTGACATGACATATATGTGGTATATATACTAATTGTCCTGTGTTTATTACGTGACATGATATATATCTGGTATATAAACCAATTGTCCTCTCTGTGTGTGTTACGAGACATGATATATATGTGGTATATATACAAATTGTCCTCTCTGTGTTTGTTACGTGACATGACATATATGTGGTATATATACTAATTGTCCTGTGTTTATTACGTGACATGATATATATCTGGTATATAAACCAATTGTCCTCTGTGTGTGTTACGAGACATGATATATATGTGGTATATATACAAATTGTCCTCTCTGTGTTGTTACGTTACATGATATATATGTGGTATATATACTAATTGTCCTGTGTTTATTACGTGACATGATATATATGTGGTATATAAACCAATTGTCCTCTCTGTGTGTGTTACGAGACATGATATATATGTGGTATATATACAAATTGTCCCTCTGTCCTCTCTGTATTTGTTACGTGACATGACATATATGTGGTATATATACTAATTGTCCTGTGTTTATTACGTGACATGATATATATCTGGTATATAAACCAATTGTCCTCTCTGTGTGTGTTACGAGACATGATATATATGTGGTATATATACAAATTGTCCTCTCTGTGTTTGTTACGTGACATGACATATATGTGGTATATATACTAATTGTCCTGTGTTTATTACGTGACATGATATATATCTGGTATATAAACCAATTGTCCTCTCTGTGTGTGTTACGAGACATGATATATATGTGTATATATATATACAAATTGTCCTCTGTTACGTGACATGACATATATGTGATATATATACTAATTGTCCTGTGTTTATTACGTGACATGATATATATGTGGTATATAAACCAATTGTCCTCTCTGTGTGTGTTACGAGACATGATATATATGTGGTATATATACAAATTGTCCTCTCTGTGTTTGTTACGTTACATGATATTTATGTGGTATATGTACTAATCGTTCTGTGTTTATTACGTGACATGATATATATCTGGTATATAAACCAATTGTCCTCTCTGTGTGTGTTACGAGACATGATATATATGTGGTATATATACAAATTGTCCTCTCTGTTTGTTACGTGACATGATATTTATGTGGTATATATACCCATTGTCCTCTCTGTGTGTTACGTGACTTGTATTATGTTATATGTATGCCACTTGTTCTGTGTGCGTTACGTGACATGATATATATGTAGGATATATACCAGTAGACATCTCTTTCTGTGTAACGTGACACGACATATATGGGGTATCTTTACCAATTGTTCTATATTTACCCACCATGTGGATGGGTGCTCTGTGCTGGGTGTGGATGTTTTACAGCAGTGTTATAGGACATCAGTATCAGGTTGCGACATCTAAGTGAGGCTAAAATTGCCAGTGGGGTCGACAAGGATCGGTCCCAGGCTCTATGCTTTCAGCACCTTTTCAGGTACATGTCGAGCTACAATACAAGATGTGCACCGCCAACATGAACTGAAATTGTGAAAGATTATAATGTTGCAGAATGGATTATACTCCATGTTGCCGTACCTGGTGTTCTGGTGTGTCGTGGTGCTGACCAGCGGGTGTTCGACAGTCTTGTGTCCAGGAAACTGCTAAGTGTTCGTGCTTCCAGGAAGTTCCTCAATACTCCAGGTAATCCCTGTCTTTGTTCCATGGAGGTATTCGATCCGAATCTTTGATTGGGCAAGAAGAAGGCTCGCGGTGACGAGCCTTCACGAAAAAGCTACAAAAACGTTCAAACGTAGACGCTAATAATACCTTTATATTGGCATTGCGTGTGATGGATGACCTCAGCAATAGTGTAGTGTCGGGAATACCCCTCTTATTGTCTCTTGTTATTATTTACTTTGCTCTTCATAGCATTCAGATGTTACCCCAATCTCCCGGCGTACATACATACTACCTCACTCACTCACACTCAAAGGCCTTCTACTTTTTCCCAATTCTCAATGACATCATCAGTTAAAAATATAGTTGCCAGCAACGATGTTGGCTCCTTGGCTTTAGTTCTATCTAGCCTATTGTGTCTGTCACATATTTGATGAAAGTTGTAATAGTTTTAGTTAATATGAATCATTTCACTGCTAGTCTTTGGAGATACATTACTGCAATCAGTAGTTATAATCGACACTAATAGTCCACTTGTACAGGTACATTTTGGTCGAAATCGGACGGTTGGTTTGAGAGTTACGGGTGTTTGAATTGTATTTGAGGGCTAGAAACAAATCGTCCAAAACGGAGCCAGAACACGTTTTTGACAGGCGAGCGGATCTTCCAAATGCAGCCGGGGTCGCGGGGATAATGTACCTTCTTTAAGTTCTGGAGAAGAAATAGTTCCCTCTTTAAAAGGCTGTATCTAAGTTGTTCTTGTGTCTACGGACAAAACAATTAGTGTTCTGGAATCACCAACACTTTATCTATCATACTGGTACTTTTTGTGCAGAATTTGCATAATGGTTACTGGACATCAGTTATGGAAAGTTTGGAATGTCTAGAGCTGATGGTTCCAGCTCAGCACATTCTGGGAGCAAACTACTCAGAAAACTGCTGAAAACATGGCCAAAACTGAAAACAAAAATAACTGCCAAACGGTACATTTTAGCGACTTGACCCGTCCAGGCAACATTGTTGGGAATTCGATTGTGCATCTGTACAAGAGATTTGGAAGTGTTGGAACAATTAGTTCTTGTGATATTTGCTGTCAAACTTTGAAATTTTGGAATTAATTTTGAATTATCTCCCCTTTGCTACTGGGCCTAGATCCTAGAGATTTTAAGGGGAATATCTTTACCTCGGTGGGCATCTGTGTGATTTTTTGTAAGCGATTCGGAGCATTGGTTTAGGAGGTACAACAATCGGCGGAATAATAAACAACAACAATAATAATAATCCGAACGATTACAATAGGTCTCCTGCCTAGAGGCAAGGAGCCCTAATTATATGTTATATTTTCGAAGAAGTGAAAGTGTACACTACGTCGACATCGCACCGCAATTCTCTGGAACACTAATTAAGTGGCCTCGGGAACTGCATCAGCACCATTGCTGGGATCATTGCTCCGTACATCGTTTCGTCCAAAACGGTTAACTTAAGTCGACACCAAAAGAAACAATTCTTTGATCCTACAGACGTACAATATATGTGATTCACGGTTCTAAAGCGTTGCTGTGAGCTCTGTTTACTCCTATATGAGTTCCATTGCTCCCGGGATCCGATAGTCAGAGGTTAGAATCCCGATTTGGTATAACAACACCTGTTCCAGTGTTGTAAATGTTGTGTAGGCAGTGACTTCTAATTAGTTTTTGTGTTTTCACCGGATTCTCTGATATCCAGTTTTTGTTAATATGTGTCTGAGAGTGTTTTGGTGACTGACCATCTCAATCAGGAAGATCGCATGGAATAGGACTTTAACTTATATATTATCCATACATGGAGAAAATATCTCATGCATCGAAAATATTTATATTATATGACAACCATTTAAATTGCCACTGACTTTGCAAAACACAATTCAACAAATACGATGGTTTCTTCTTTTTACTGACAATTTCTCTCGAAACATAACATGATTGTATCAACATCTGAAATGGTAGTCGCAAGTGTATACGTACCACAAAACATGTACAGGTGTACCATCTTTAATGATAATATGTCTAAAAGAAACAGTATATGAACTTTTTCAATCGGTTTAACATGTATCACATCAATAAAGTAGAATTGTTCTTACTGTTGTGTTAAAGCGATATGACGAACTTTCATACACAGATTGGGTTAACGAAAATGTAACAGATCTGAACAATTTACCAATACTTTGGAAATCAACACCAGCTATTTATGTTCATGCACATTTGGTTTTTTTAAAAACATAACTCAAAATAATTATCTCCCCTTTGCTACTGGGCCTAGATCCTAGAGATGTTTAAGGGGAATATCTTTACCTCGGTGGGCATCTGTGTGATTTTTTGTAAGCGATTCGGAGCATTGGTTTAGGAGGTACAACAATCGGCGGAATAATAAACAACAACAATAATAATAATCCGAACGATTACAATAGGTCTCCTGCCTAGAGGCAAGGAGCCCTAATTATATGTTATATTTTCGAAGAAGTGAAAGTGTACACTACGTCGACATCGCACTGCAATTCTCTGGAACACTAAGTGGCCTCGGGAACTGCATCAGCACCATTGCTGGGATCATTGCTCCGTACATCGTTTCGTCCAAAACGGTTAACTTAAGTCGACACCAAAAGAAACAATTCTTTGATCCTACAGACGTACAATATATGTGATTCACGGTTCTAAAGCGTTGCTGTGAGCTCTGTTTACTCCTATATGAGTTCCATTGCTCCAGGGATCCGATAGTCAGAGGTTAGAATCCCGATTTGGTATAACAACACCTGTTCCAGTGTTGTAAATGTTGTGTAGGCAGTGACTTCTAAATAGTTTTGGTGTGTTTTCACCGGATTCTCTGATATCCAGTTTTTGTTAATATATGTCTGAGAGTGTTTTGGTGACTGACCATCTCAATCAGGAAGATAGTATGGAATAGGACTTTAAATTATATATTATCCATACATGGAGAAAATATCTCATGCATCGAAAATATTTAGTATTATATGACAACCATTTAAATTGCCACTGACTTTGCAAAACACAATTCAACAAATACGATGGTTTCTTCTTTTTACTGACAATTTCTCTCGAAACATAACATGATTGTATCAACATCTGAAATGGTAGTCGCAAGTGTACACGTGCCACAAAACATGTACAGGTGTACCATCTTTAATGACAATATGTCTAAAAGAAACAGCATATGAACTTTTTCAATCGGTTTAACATGTATCACATCAATAAAGTAGAATTGTTCTTACTGTTGTGTTAAAGCGATATGACGAACGTTTATACACAGATTGGGTTAACGAAAATTTAACAGATCTGAACAATTTACCAATACTTTGGAAATCAACACCAGCTATTTATGTTCATGCACATTTGGTTTTTTTAAAAACATAACTCAAAATAAACTAATTTTACAATATATACGGTTAGGTTCCACAAATTGCAATACGTTCTTCAGAAATCAAGTGAATTCTGTTGGATTATTAAAGTGTCGCTGCAAAAGGAGCTGTTCATACAAAAGTACAAATAGAAGAATGCAAAATCTTAACATAAGGAAGTGATGTTTATAGAGCTGCAGCCATATTACATGAATATGATTCTCTGTCATGATTATAATGAAAAAGAGCTGGGGATACACACGCATCATAACCTCAAAACTAATACAATATATCCGTGTACAACATCAAGACCTACTGTTTAGGATTTGTAGGCTCAAAGAGACTGCTATATTGCATGAATATGATTCTATGTCATGAGCATGAGGAAATAGGAAAAAGAACTAGCGATACAAGTTCAAAAGTAATTAAAAAGAAAGCGTATCCAACAGCATCAGGAACTACGGCTTTTACATTCTTAATATAATAATGGCGTCTTCAATTTCCAATAAATTAAATTAAAACGTAACGTTGGTTTATAGCAAAAAGATTCACGGGCAGTCAAGTGAAAATGAAAACGAAAGCAATGGTAACAAGCGGTTCAAACAAAAGCATCGTCAACAATATGAACCATAGCAAACAAATTAAAAATGCGTTATTAACAATAAAATAACGTATTCTATTCATGTCGTCTGCCTTGACTCAGAACTTGAACAGAAGTATTCCGACTGAAGGAAGATTTCGAACTTTGACTTCTTCCGCTCTATATCAAAATGTTTTGTTCTGGTATCCTCTCCAGGTCTCTTCGACTCGCCCAGAACTTCTCCCTTTTCCCCTTTTCCCCTCTCATTCATTTGTATTATCGAGAGTAGATAAGTAAATTAAGAACTATACCAGTGACGTTCTGCACCCGTCACACAAAACCTGGGATCATCGACACAGACTTGTCTCACGAATGTATTTTTGGGGGCGTGTTTTTTCTATGTTCATACTTTCTTATCATCACCCTATCGAGAACAAAATGATGCAAGAAGTGTTCAATGGTTAAACGGATCAAGGGACAAAGGGGTTTCATGTGAGATGGCATCCATTATTATCTTGAATCAATTACAACCTGGATCGTGGTTTTATTATACATTTGACTATTTTCATTCGATTAATTTTAAAACCAATACTCGTTGGTCATCAGGCATTCTACGGCTGTGATATTGACTTTAGGTGACATATCAACTCACATGATCAACATGCGATTCACACTTATCATATGCGAGCCAACACATTATTTATCTTTCTATTATTTTGTTTAATTTTTTTAGGGCTGGGGATCTGTGGGAAGAGGAGAAACTACGACAAAAGTATCCAACCCTAACCATCCTCTCAAGTTATCAAATAGTTATATCATTTACATGTCAAATAGATTTATAGTCATCTAGATTCACATTTCAAGCCTCATTAACAGACACAATCACAAAGAAACAATACTATCCCGAACCAAACCCACATCAACATCTCCAAACGCACCAAACTCAATTGCTTCTCCAATATACTTTCAAACAAATTCCCTGTAGCAAATTCTATTTTCCTCGAAAACAGCAGATAAGATTTCTTTATCAATTATGCGCAAAATGGCATATGTCAATCATGTATAATCTCTGCGCATATTTAACATTTAGGCAAATGTCCAAAAACAGATGAGCTTCTTGTGATCGTGATGTCTACCAGTGTTGAGCACGGGAGCTGTGATTGTAGCCACGGTATCGCTACCCTTCAGCACACATATGGCTGGCGTCTTCGAGAAGCTTCTTCTTCCAGTCTTCCATCTGTAGATCCGGTCCACTCACGAGTTTCATTTCAACTCTCTTTGGGTTATTATAAACTGCAAATACAGGCCACATCTTCTTGTTGTATCCGGCACCCTGTCCTGGCTTGTTGTCAACAATACATCCAGATCCCAACACTTTTCTGTTGTTGGTGTCCAGGAAGGATACCGCCATCGTGTCAGTATCAACAAGAACTCCGTACTTTACTGTCACTGATGTTCCTGCCTTATTCTCAAACACTTTAGCTGTTGCTACATCCTCTCCATTAACAGCTATATGACTCCACACATTATCCTTCTCGCCATTTGATATGAACAGACTGCATGAATTAGGCTGACCGCCGATATAATGATTATTGTCCATGACATCCTCTCCACACACCCCGACCTCCAACACAAGATGTCGATCACCAAGAGACTTGTCCAGTCCCACATCCGCCTCCACCTCCCAGTACACCAGGCCGCTGGAGGGCAGTGGGGAGGTGCTGCTGGTGCCGTAGTAGTTCTTCAACATCTTCCCACTAATGCCCACTCTTCTACATTGAGGATGTTTGGTGTTGACGAGAAGGCCTTTGTCATTAATGTGTGTTCTGTACAGGTTTACTCTGTCGGAATCAAACATCATCTTTGGACCTGTCACAGGATGAGAAAAAATACACTGCTATGGAAAACAGTTAAAATATATTATACATCGCGTATATTATTACGCTTGTTTTAACAGCCTCTTAGAAATACACACATTCAGTCGTCCTGGTGAGCATATGTAACCGGGGTGATTGGGTTTGCCCGGTAGTTCGTTTGTCACGCCGAAAATCCGAGTTCTATTCCCCACATGGGTGCAATGTGTGAACCCCATTTCTGGTGTCCGCAGGCCGTGATATTGCTAGAATATTGTAAAAAGAGGCGTAAAACTAAACTCACTCACACACCCATTCAAATACAACCAATGGCATCACAAGCCCCTTTGTCCCGACTTCACTTGGAATCGTATCCTGCTCTACCTCCACCGTCTATGGTTGTTCTATAACTTTTTCTCAAACAGACTTTTGTAGCCATACGTGTATTCACTCTCTGAACAGAATGTTTAACTCTTGAACAAACATTGCATAAAATGAAATATTTCATTACCAAATCACATTGCCGTCATGACCTCGTGTCCAGATCAAGCATATTGGATGAAGACATTTTTAAAAATATTTTTGTATTTCAAATATCATTACTGTTTATATTATAAACGTGTTGTAAAAGATATTTAAGAGTACATTCATTTTTATTCGGATATTACAACTGATAGCGTGTATCATTATTGTAATAGTTGACTTTTGAAAAATACTATAACCTATGACCATGGTTGCTTGCATATGCACGTAGACATCACTTGGCGGATTTCCCTCGTGCTGTAAATAATATTTCGTTTAAACAGAACGTGTGAACAGAGACTGTTACACTTCCTTGGTTGGTTGTCCTTGAATATACTTATAAACATTAGAGGAAAATATACTTACATACAACAACATGTCGCGCTCTGTTCACTTTCCCAAGCATATATAGACCCGTGCCTTTGTCGCAGCCTGGAAAAATTAAGCATTAAGCATTACGTTGATACAAGAAACATAGATCGCCCTGTCTGTTGGTATGGTAATTTGGTTATCGAATATAGTTCATGGTTAAGAAAGAACCCAAGGACAGTTAATTTCACCCCACTGTACCGCCGTTTAGGTTCGGGGTTAGAATATTCTTCAGCAACCTCTGGTTTTCGGCCAACATCAGGTGGTTAAACTACCTGACTTGGTTGATGTCATCGTAAAGAGACTGATACTTATGATGTCAATCACTGTATTGTGTTGTCCAGACTTGATTGTTTACAGGCAGATGTAATATAACCCCAATATTGCGGCGTAAAACAACAAATCCACATTTTATCTGTAGTGATGAGGAGGCTTATTTAACACTGGTGAAGTGTAAGTGTAACTCACAGTAAAACAATCCAAATTTTAACAAATGTCAAAGTTACCACACGTGAAACACGAAAACAAAAGGTTCTTAGCGAAGCAAATAAAGACTAGACAGGGTTTCTTATCCTCAACGACTGTATTCTCTACGGAAGAGACTTACCCATGGGATCCAACTGAATTACGATCCCCTGAAGTCTGGATACATCCTCCTGCAAAGTCTTCACCTTCTGTTCATTCTGAGAGGCCTCCTTTTCCAGTGCACTGATTAGCTGGACGGTATAAACAAACAGAGTACTGTCAACGTCTGAATATGTTTTACCATCGCTATTGATCATGTTAGTATAGTGTATAGTGACACAATATTAAGTGACTTACTTTTCTGTGATAAGTGCATCATTTGAGAAGAATAAAACGTATTACATTTATAAACCAATATAGCTACCATCCGTCTGCGTCTTAAGCATTTCCTGTCATAGTCTATGACTAAACTAATATTGTAAGAATTTACCATCTGAGCCTCTCTGTTCTGTGTCAGAAGATCATCAATATCTGCTTCCAGTTTCATCTGAAGGCCTGTAGGAACATTAACTGCAGGTATTGCCAAAATATATAGGATACAACGTTGATACGGCTTAGACATGTTACCGTTATTTCATTTTTATTGACTGAACAGAAACAGTAATCGATCATGTTGAACAAGATTGTTTCTGAACAACATGAACTATCATGACAGCAGAGTATGTATTACAAATACCATTTAACATATACACTCGTCTTGCCAACACACTGCCCAGAACACACACTCATAACTGTATCACTACTTTTTTCAAACGACAGAAAATATTAATAATTAGAAGATCTGAAGGCATCCATAGTCATAACATCTTACATGCTAACATGGATCTGGTTGAAAAGAACGTAAAAACAAAGCGACAGTTACCTGTTTTAAGTGATACTTCCATAGGTGATTCCGTCTGGGTAACTGAAGTCATGAAACCACCAAAGAATGATACTAAGGATTTCAAATCCGGAAAACCTTGCTTTGAGAAGACGATACATGGTTCGTATTTGTGAACAGCAGGAACGTCAGCCTTCATACAAGACTCAAAGGCCTGTGTGATGGAACTCTTCACTTTGTGGAGGTGGGAAGGTGAGGCATAGAGGAGAGTCTCGTTGACGTAGTCAAGGACTGTCTGGCAGCTTGTATCTGATGACTTCAGGACAGGAAGTCGACTATCGTTGATGTTCCTCATGGAGTCTAAAATCTGATCTAGCTCCACAAGCACCTCCTTCTCTCGCTGATCTATCACATCTCTCAGCTCAGAAAAAGTGTGTTGAACGGTGTCTCGGAGAGAAACGACCTTCTCGTCAATACGCCTTGCTTGTACAAGAACCGTTTCTTTTGCTGAAATGATCTTTTCCTTCTTCTCTGAAGCAGATTTTATGTATGCCTTCAAGACGTCTTGTTCCCGACTCAAGAACATATCAGCTCTGTCAGTTCTGTGACTGGTGTGATCTTCGTAGAAGCATTCAAAACATATTAAACAGTCACAGTCTTTATCGTAGACGTCCAAACGTTGTCCGTGTTTCTCACAGACGGAATGCGACCGTTTCGATGTACATGGAAGATCAGAAATCCACTTCATTGTGTGATTCCTATTTGCCTTCAACTCTGAGTGAGATAAATGACAGTGCTCGCAGAAATAGTCCTCACATTCATGACACCAAGACATTGCTTGGTTCCCATCCTCCTTGTTGGTACATTGGAAGTCTGACGGTCGGTGCTTCATTGTCTGGTTGAGAACGTCAGCAAGAACGACATCGTCTACTGGGAAACTCCCGACATATTTATCATGACTCTTCAAGCAGACAGAGCAGTCCAGAGTTGTGACTTCCGGTGACCTTAGACAGTCCTCACATACAGGATGTAGACAGGGAAGCAGGTGTGGCTGTGGTCCTCTGTACCTGAAGGAGGTGCTGCACACCACACACTTGGGAAATGTTTCTGAATCCATCCTGTAACAAACTTTAAATATGTATACACGGATCTTTGAAGATCATACACTGACCAACTGTTTCAGATTAGAAAAAATATTTTGAACCTGATCATATGAGGTGATAGGACTTTAGACCTCCTTGAGCAATATCTATATATTACGGTGTCAAAAATGGGATTCACACATTGTTATCTTTCAGGGAATGGTGGCAACTTGCCAGAGTTTTAGAAAACGTATTTACACAGTTTATATGTTTATAAACTATTGTCTAATGAAACTGTTAAAAAAACAAAGATATGATCGATAAGAAGTTTAATCTGCTGAGGATTGTATATCTTGATAACTAGTTGATAAACTTATCCCTAAACTTTGAAACTTGGCAGGCCCACAGATTGTATCCATGTGGAGAATCAAAACCGGGACTTTGGTGTGACCAGCGAACGCTTTGACCAACTGGCTACCCCACCGCCCCAGCATTTGAGGTAGGGCGACTGATTCTTTTATATAGTTGGGCGTATCAACCATTTGATATCCGCTGGTGGAGGGCAGGTGTTTTAATAGAAAAAGATTTATTTTTGCAAAAAGTCTCTTCCAACAGAAAACACGAACTCTTTGGATCTTCTCATAGAAACAAATATCTGTCTTATGACAGTGGGAATTGTAAAACGGATTTCTCCTGAAAACACATATTTTTAATGGTTATAGAGTCGGTTTTGTGGCTAAACTATCTAAAGAGCCTATTTAAATGTTGGCCTTGTGGTACGGCCCTATGACGGATACTAGCCACCCAGCGTGCAAACTGTGAGGACCCTTGCTCTCATCCACTGCTTTGCATGTTTTCAGAGTAGATTATTTTCCAGACCTGGTCTGGTCTGGATCTGACCAATTTATTTGGTTTGAATCCTGGTTTCCAGGTTCATCAGCACCTCACCCATTCTCGTGATTCTAACTACAGTGGTAAATTAATGATACCACTTCGGGCTTTTTGCAATCATGATTGATTGATTGATTTATTGATTGATTGATTGATTGCTGATCTCACTCAGCTATATGTCGGCGGCCAGTAAATAATCGAGTCTGGACCAGACAATCCAGTGATCAGCATTATGAGCATCGATCTACGCCGTTGGGATACGATGACATGTGTCAACCAAGTCAGCGAGTCTGACCACCCGATCAGATTAGTCACCTCTTACGACAAGCCTCGGTGGCTGAAGACCAATTCTAATCTGCTCCGCAACCATAAAGATGCCACGCCGTGAAATAACTGAAATATTGTTTAATCCAAACTCACTCACTCAGACGATGAATTTGGCTTTCTAAATTTGATATCCATTGTGAAATGCACTGATGTATGATACAGGTATTTACTGAAACCAGTTTTAAAACGATAGTACAAAGTCATGTATAACTTATTATCTGTATTATCCGCACGTCACGCTGAAGACCCGGATTCGCTTCCCTACATGGGTACAATGTGTGGAGTCTCTAGCCGTGGTATTGCTGGAATATTGCTAAAAGCGGCATAAAACCATAGTCACTCACTATTACATGTATCATTTGCTCACACTTGGGAATGTGCAAAAATATAAGACAATGAAAATGGATTGTGCTCTGACGATTCGTATTCTATTCAAAGTATTCAGATTACATTTTACATTCGGCTTACCTCGAAATGACACGGGTCAGTCAGCAATGGATATTGTGTTCGAGTCATGTATCCATGTTGAGTCGGATATGACCTGATGCAAGGTATTGCACTGTGCTAGCACTATTGAATGGACATAAGTCCGAACTGGTCCACATCGCATTTTAGTGCAGGCATATTGAACGCGATCTTAGCTTAACCCCATTTTACATATATCGCATATCTGGGAACCAGCTCAATGGCGCTGTGCCCGTCTCAATGTCCACCCGCGTCACACATTATCCACGAGGAGAATCGAACCCGGGCCTTCGTCGTGACGAGCAAACGCTTTAACGACTAGGCTACCCCAACACCCCCTTGAAATTATGAAGTACAAAAACAGCATGCACTTGAACACAAACAACAGTCTGAGTGACCCATATACCAATACAAAGACCCAGTTTGGAAAACCAAAGAGAGATACAATATCACAGAATGTAACACGAACATAACAGATCGCAAGCCTAACTGTCTGTAGTTAGTTGCTATTTCCTGGAATCGAAAGTGAAAATAGAAATAGCCGTTTTATCGAGAAAGGTGTGTATACCTGATTTCGGCGTCAGCGATTCGCAGTACATATGTAATCATGCTATCGTAATGAAAATACAAGAAACGCATAGGTGATTTTGAGAATATTGGACTCATGTAGCTGCGGCAAAAGAAATACAAACGTACTATTTTTTTTCCAAAACTTCATCTTTGTGTGAGTAAACAGCTTCTGCGCCAAAACGCGGCAATTTAATTTTTCCCCTTCGTTTAGAAGCGTTTGAAGAAATATTCGCCAAAACGTCACCAAGAAAACATGCAAAGTAAAATGCACGTGCAAGTAAATGGAAAAGAATGCGGTATCGATCACTATGAAAAGGCAAACGTTGTGCTTAAGTTTTTCATTCGTTTTTGCCTGGAAAATAGGAAATCACCATGCCACGACTGAGTGCACCTAATCTAAACATCGCCATAGCACGCCTTGAAGCTGGAGAGTCACAGTCTGCAGTTGCCCGACATTTCAAAGTTCATCAGAGCACCGGGCCATAACTCGCCCAAGATCGCCCGAGAAGCGACCGCCCAAGAGTTACCACCCAAGCTCAGGACCGCTACATCCGTCCTTCTCACTTGCGTCATCATCTTGTGTGTGTGTCATGGTGTGGAGCGCGATATCAAGCACAGATATCTAATTTAGTGGTGGTTCAGGGGAATTTGACAGCAAATCGGTACGTCAACGTCAACGAAGTCCAATGCTAGTTCACATACAGCACGCGTTACGGTCCGCTACCTTGCCAATTCTAACGTCAATGTCTTACCATGGCCTTCCCGATCACCAGATATAAACCCGATAGAACACCTATGTGAGTGAGTGAGTTTAGTTTTAAGCCGCACTCAGCAATATTCCAGCTATATGGCGTCGGTCTGTAAATAATAGAGTCTGGACCAGACATTCCAGTGATCAACAGCATGAGCATCGATCTGCGCAATTGGGAACCGATGACATGTGTCAACCAAGTCAGCGAGCCTGACCACCCGATCCCGTTAGTCGCCTCTTACCATAAGCATGGGTTACTGAAGATCAATATTTTAACCCGGACCTTCACGGGAAACACCTATGTGATGAACTCGATCGACGTGTACGTCAACGTCAAAACACGCCTCAGACACTTCCGCAGCTGGCCATCGCATCGGAGGAAGTGTTGGAAAGAATTCAGCAAGAGCGACTTCGTCGACTTATCCAGACGGTGCCGAGACGGTGCCGAGCAGTAATTTCTGGCCATACAAACTACTGACTTTGACGCCATCTTGTGGACTCGAGTTAACAGAAACACAATAATAAAGTCTGATGTTGTTGACGAACTCTTTGTCTATAGACGAGTGAATTTTCACCTTTTTACCTTTGAAAAAACATGAAATAGTTGTTCTTAAACTAACGCAATAAATTCTTCTAAAATGTCTTATGCGTTTCATTTTGTAAAGAGTATATTTTACATTCAAGACAAAGTACGATAGTCAACGTGTTTCCTCTTACGTTTTTAATGATTCTTTCGGCTTAATCGGTTGAGCAAGGCCGCCATGACCATAATGTTCCATATTTGGAACTGAGCATTACGTCATCAGTTTTCAGCGATGACGTTATACACAAACTAACTATGGTGCTCCAAAGTTGTCCTATTTCATCACGACAAATTCGTGTCTTCAAATCATTTGTCAAATGTAAGAGTTAAATTAAGACGTCAGTTCAACAATTTCAAACACAAATAACGACTTTCACGTGCCCATTCTATCAATCCAAGAGAAACATGACTCTTGTGTTCGTCGTATACTTCGACAGCTAAGTGTAGGTGCGTTTTCATGTACGTGCTGAATACTTCCGTATTAGCTATAGACCACCCTATCTCTGAAACTATGCCACCAGTACCGGGTGTAGCTCCTGATAACAGCTCATCTCTCATAGGATGACCAGGAAATACGAATTAAGGGGGAACACTGCCACCAGCTGCGTTAACAGCGGCAATCATCGTTACGTTGTGTGATTTCCTAGATCACACCTCTGTGGTTTGCAGTGTATCCCGTTGACTGCTTTGGATGGTGTTACATCAGTTGATAGTCCCTCTTCATCAATGTTCAAAATAGCCTGGGCTGAACCATGAAAGTTGTACTGTTGCATGACGTTGGAGAGTTCTGTGAAATACCGACTGTTTTTGGGGGTGTTTTTTCGTGTTGTTTTTTTGTTTTTTGGGAGGGGCTTATCTCGACCTCACTGCTTCAGGTTTCCTCGGTTTCCGTACTTTAAGTTCCGGCTATCTATCTAATAAACTGTACAGCCATCGGAGACTTAAATGATGATCTCTGTCGAGTCTTCTGACGAGTTTAACCGTCGCCAGTCTCGATCATAACTTTGATATGGTTCGCTGAAAGGATTCTTCTTGTGAGGAACACAGCGTCATGGGACACGACTTGAGGGTATCTATGCTGATATTGCCCAACAAACGATCCTTATGAGTAGAAACGGGAACCCCCACCAAGCAGTAGTCTGTCTCACAGTCCCTGAACAACGTCATTTTCCCTAATGCCTTGCCCTCCCTGCAATCTTAAAGCCCTAAATTAAGCAAGTCCAGATTTCCCAAGGTTCAGGTCTGATTCTCCCAACTCACTGGGGATCCTTTTCTGTTATATATATTCAGGGACTAAGCGTTAGTCTAACCAAGCTGCTGCTATCTGTATGGACACATTTTGTTCTAGCACCAGTCTATAAACATTACCTAGGGAGGTCATCTCGGGTGTAATTTTACCTAAACGGAGCGCACGAGCGTATTTGTCTGATAGGATAAGGATGGCCCGA